AATTTACAACCGTAATCACTTGAGCTTGTATCTTAATCTGAATACTATATATTTTTCTTTATTTTTAATCAAGAAAACTATACTCTTTGAAGTATGTATATTTATTATCTCTTATATCAAGTGTTTAAAATATTTGTGGTTTTTATTTAACAACTATATGTGTGTGTCTGTGTTTTTCCCTTTTCCTTATGGAACATTTTGAGCTTGGTTAGTTGTATTTTATGCAAAAGTTGCGTGGTTCCACATTTCAATATTGGGTGTTTTTGTATATATACCCCTTAGATCATGCATATTTGTAAATTTATCTCCAAACCTATTAGCACAAACCGCCTACCAAAACATCAAATTCAAGAAAAGCAACCTCCAAATAAATATATGGTAAACTTTGACAAACTAATTTTGTAATCGTAATATAAAAATATCAACAAAATAGTCAAATTTTTATTCCCTGTATCCAACAAAGTTAATGATTTGTTGATTTGGAATGGCTTTTTTATATAAATATCATAGAACCACCCTTAATTTAGGACGATTATCAGAAAGCACCCCCATAAACTTTGAAAATATCAAAAACCTCCTAAAGTATAGTGATTATCAGAAAACCTTGAGATTTTATGAGAAAACACCCCAAATTTGGAGGGTTTTCTGGTGAAATCTCAATGTTAAAATGAGGTTTTTTCTAACAACCCCTAAACTTAGAGGGCGGGGGGGGGGGGGTATATTATTTTCAAAGTTAAATGTAATCATCTGATAATCATCCAAAGTTAAGGGGGGTTTTATATTAATATTTGGCCTTGTTTTCCTCCAAAGCTAATGATTTCGGTAATAGTTCTATAAATACTAAAATTTGAGAGATAGTCTTGCAAATATGCATGATTTAAGGGATATGTCATTTAAAAAAACCTTAAATATTAATGTCTTATGTCATATCTTTTCCTATTGTGGGATCTACTTTACCTTCCTCCTACGAAGCAAAACGTGGGCATCTAGAGCTTACAGCATATGCTAATCTTTTTTCCTCCCAAAAGTGGGCACCGAAAGTTCACATATAATAAAACTTTTGCTTAGCTCGGTTAATTAGTATTAGCAAACTCATTTTTTTTTCCACTTTAAAGCAACAAGATTATTGACCATTAATCCCTTGCAAACTGACAACTCATCAACCATTAAGTTTATGAGGTCTTACCTAATCGCAGACATGACTCATAAAAAGTTTTTATATTAAAATAGTAATTAGCAGGAAATTAACAAGTAGATTAGAACATCACAAGGTACTAACTTATCAAGAAATTTACAAACTATTTCAGAACGGATAAAAGAATATTATCCATCTTAGGAGGATAATTCATGATTTTTATGATGCGCGTGCAAAACTATTAGGTGAATGTCGTGAAATGCGTTTTTAAAGGGGGTGTAAATTACTTTTTTTGTGTTTGTTGAAAAAACATTATAAGTTTGTATCCAATTTATTCAAGCTAATACCTCATGATATTCAAGTTATTTTTGAATATACGCCCGTCATACATAATTTAATCAATACAAAAAGATCCCGCAGAATCAAGCAAATAATATTATAACATTAGGTTTTATCTTTACAGAAGGAATTTGTACTCTAATTATAACTAATACTTATTAATCTCACCCTCACAATCATTTGTTAAATATGATATAATTAAGAAACCATCCATTGTATACGTATACACGAATTATCCTTAGACACCAAAGTACTCTTTCTCTCGGAAAAAAAAAGGTGAGTACCAAATAGCTCTAGTATAGAGTTTTTTTTTTAACTTAATATGATTTTGTTTCTTGTTTTCTTTAGTGAGCTTAATTATGTGTTAATTACGTGATCTTTTTTTTTATATCCAGAATATCTCTTTTTTAGAAGAAAGAATCACGAAAATTTAAGAGTGGTAAAATTGTAGCACTTCCCTTCTCGGGATTTAATTGCTCAATTTTGTTACGAGAGTCTACAAACGCGATTTATAATTAGCTCACAAAAATACGAGAAAATATTTAACTAATCTAGAAAATAATACGCCACATTAATTACCTAGGATAAAATAAAAAAATACAAAAATAAAAACAAAATCAAGGAATAAAGAATAAAGCATCCCATTGGCCACCCGAAGATCACCTACCATAACTTCTCAAGCCCACATTAATTCACAATCCTCCTCCATTCTCTTTTGTTTTAGGTAACTAGTCTTTGTGCACGTGCAATGCACGTGATTAAATATCAAAATTATTATTATTTATTTATTTTCTTGTTATAAAATAAGTCAGATTTATTTTGAGTTAAAATCTATAACATGGTTTGTTATATTTTCCATAAATTTTATTTAAATATTTTTAAAATTTTTATGAAATAGATGATTAATTTTGAAAATTTCTTCGGCCAGGAATAATAAAGCTAACAAGTTTGCAAGGGATGATAGGGTAACATAGTACATTCTTAAGAACTATTAATTTTTATTTAGTTTATTTATAATGATAGGATCTTATTATTAACTAACTACAATGCTTAGTATTTTTTTTGTTGGACGTTCAAGGCAGGCAAATGACCCATGTAAGTCCTCATCTCAATGAATATTATACAATTTAAGTACAAAAAAAAATCAATGGTGTGGTTGGTGAGGGGAAACTCCAGCAGCTTAATTTGGTGTGTGGATATATAATAGATGAAGATGGAGAATGGTGGATTTAAAAATAGTTGGTGCGTGTGGGTAATTAATATGTTTTTTTTTTGTGTGGTTTTCTTCGTTCATTTTTAAAATATATGTGGTCCTATATATATATATATATATATATATATATATATATATATATATCTATATATATATATATATATAAGAAGAGAGAGAAGAGAGAGAGAGAGAGAGAGAGAGGACGAGAGAGAGGAGAATGGGTATCTTGGTACCAAGCACATATTTTTGTGCTTGGTAGTGATGTGTTCACATCTCCATCCCCGCGTGTCACCATCCTCATCCAACTCACCTACCCACTGTGAATGTGGTCCCCAATAATTTGATTGAGTGGGGGGGATGTTGACACATCCTACCAACACAACTTTTTGTGCTTGGTTACCAAGCCATGCCCATATTGCTCATATATACTAATATATTATATGATCAATACTATTATAAGAGTATATATATACTATATATATATATAGATAGAGCCCAATATGGGCATGCTTTGGTACCAAGCACGTAAAAAGTTGTGCTTGGTACTGATGTGCTCACATCCCTCCTCCACTCATTCAAATAATGGGACCACATTTCACATGGGTAGGTGAGTGCATGAGGATGCCTACACATCACTACCAAGCACACAAATTTGTGCTTCGCGTACCAAGCAATACCATTTTTCATATAATATTCCATATATATATATATATACTATATTTATATCAATTAATATTTAATATATAATATATATATATATATTATATACTACCTATATACTTATATTATATATATAGTTATATATATATATATATATATTATAATATTATATGGGAGGAGAGGAGAGAGAGAGATATGGTAATGCTTGGTAGTGAAGGTGGTCAAATCTCTCCAACTCCATTCAATGTTGGGAACAAATTACACATGTGTGTGAGTGAATGGATGGTGACATACTACAACACAAATTGTGGTTTTTTGTACAAGATACCATGATTTCTATATATTAACTATATATACTACTATCAATATTAGTAATTATTATATATATAGGATAATACAGATAATTTATTTTAACCAACACCCATGTGTAAATATTACAATTGGCATTAAGATTTAAGATATGTATGAGATTCTCTTTGACTTTTATACAAACAGTATCTATTTAATAATAATAGTATAATTAAACTTTGTGATCTAAAAAAACATGCAATATAAGTAATTGTTTTAAAATAATAATATGAAGAAAATAGATGAAAATGATGTGAAAATTATTGCAATTTCATAATTCATAAATTTTAAAAATCTAATATAATTTAATCTAATAAGAAGAAAATAACAAAAGCACATATATGTTGAAGGAGATAAAAGTGCTATGAAAATTATTGTAATTTCTGATCTGTAAAAAAGATCAAACATATAATATAATTACTCACTTTAAAATAATCTAATAAGAAGAAAATAGATGAAAGTGATGTAAAAATTGTTGATATTTCTTGATATGAAAAAAGATCAAATATATAATATAATTAATTATTTTAAAATAATCTAATCTAATCTAATAAGAAGAAAATAACAAAGACAAATACGTGTAGAAGGAGATGAAAGTGCTACAGAAATTGTTGTAATTTCGGCTTATAAACATTGGTATGTGACGTTGCATGTGAGAGGATAATAATTGTAAATAGAATTTTATTTAAATAATAATAGTATAATTAAACTTTAAAACTAATTATGAAGTGTCATGAACTACTTGAATTTTAGTTGTTGAGAGATCGTCACGTTGTGTCCTTGTATTGCAGCCGTTTATTTTTATTTTTATTTTTTATAATTTTTAAAACGATTGTCTCTTTAATTTGTTTGGTGGATTTTGCAAATACTTCGTCCACATTATTTACATTTGTAGGTATGCGTTGTTCCGGGGTTCAACCTCTGCTACGAACATTATTTGTCTCACTAATTTATTTGGATTTTGCATATACGCCATTCATTTTGTATACATTTGTAAATTTGGTATTTAATAAATTCATTTGGGTTTACATTTCAGTTTAAACTATATTCTTATCTTCATACTATGTATATCCAATAAGAATTCAATAATTTATCAATTTACTCTTACTTAATGGATTAATTTGAATTTTAAGAGTATTTTTGTCTACCAAAATATTTTTCCGAACTTGTGTTTTTAAAGAGAGTATGATATGATATGATTAAACTAAATAATTAAAATAAATAATTACTCTGTCGCATGCAAAAAAAAGGCAATATTGCGTCTTTTCCCATCATCAAATCATCAATCAACAGCAATAAAAAATCCCACCTTTGCATCTCTCCACTTCATTCAATGCGCCATCCTCATCATCGTAAAACCCTCAATAGACAAAACAAGGAAGAGTGAAGGTGAAAAGAGTTTAGAGCTAGAAAAACCCAAATAGCCCTCTCTCTCTCTTTCTCCAATCTCAGGTCGGTAAAGCTTGGATTTTTATGCAATTTCGCTGCTGAGGGAAGCAGAGAGAGAAAGAGGGAGGAGAAAGAGACGAAAACTCCCCCCCTTTTGTTCTCATCTGGCGATGTGTCCATCGCCGCAGTGATACAACTCTCTCAATCTCTGCAACCTGTCGCCATTTCTCTTCGTCTGCCCCTTTCGCCCATTACCCATATGATGAAATGCTCGTGAGATTCGAAGTCCCTCAATCCAGCTCACTCTCTTCATCACTTTGCCTCAAAACCCATCTCTTTAGATCTCCTCTTGTTGCACCCAAATGGGTTCTTTCTCTTTTCTCACCTCCTTCACTGACCTCCAATTGCCTGAAAAGGTCTCTATTGCTGCCCACGGACTGTTCCTCCTCTTGTTCCTCTTCTTCGCCTCGGCCCGCAGAGTCTTCTCATGCTCTGGGTTTCAGCTTGGAGTCTTTAAGGATGATGGGCAAGGCTCAATTTCGATCAACGGGGACTCTGGCGGTCCGAGGGTAGCTTTGAATTACTGGTTCAAGATTTGCATTGCGTGTTGCTTTTATGTTCTTTTACTGCAACTAGGACTGCTTGGTTACCAAACTATTGGATTGTTCTGGTTCAAGGCCAGGTTGAGAGATTATAATGGTCTTTTCCTTCCTTTTGTACAATCATTGGCTTGGATTGTGCTGGTTTTATCAGCGCGTCATTGTAAGTTTAAGGCATTGTGTAGGTTTCCTTTCTTGATTAGGCTCTGGTGGTTGGTTTCTTTTGGCTTGTGCGTCTTCACTTGTTATGTTGATACTAGAGGGCTAATTGACGAGTCTTTGAGTGTGAACTCACATTTGATTGCAAGTTATATGTCGGCACCTCCCCTTGTGTTTCTTTTTGTGGTTGCTGTTCGGGGGATCACAGGTATAGAGTTGTGTAGGGATCAGGAAAATCTTCGAGAACCGCTGCTTGTAGAGGAGGAAGAGCCAGGATGTCTTAGGGTCACTCCGTATAGTGATGCCGGGCTGTTTAGCCTTGCCACCCTATCCTGGCTTAACCCTTTATTGGCTATTGGTGCAAAGAGGCCTCTTGAGCTAAAAGACATACCTCTGTTGGCACCAAAAGATCGGTCCAAGACTTGTTATAAGATCTTAAATGCGAATTGGGAGAGGTTGAAAGCTGAGAACCCTTCCAGACAGCCATCTTTGGCATTAGCCATCTTCCGGTCATTTTGGAAAGAAGCGGCTATAAATGCAGTATTTGCCGGGTTGAACACTTTAGTCTCCTATGTGGGTCCTTACTTGATTAATGACTTTGTGGATTACCTGGGTGGAAACATAGCTTACCCTCATGAGGGCTATATCTTGGCCGGGGTGTTCTTCGGTGCCAAGTTAATAGAGACTCTGACTACTCGTCAATGGTATGTAGGAGTAGATATATTGGGCATGCATGTTAGATCGGCATTAACAGCTATGGTGTACCGGAAAGGGCTTCAATTGTCAAGCTTAGCTCGCCAATGCCACACGAGTGGCGAGATTGTAAATTACATGGCAGTCGATGTGCAAAGAATAGGTGACTATTCATGGTATCTCCACGACATATGGATGCTTCCCTTACAAATCATATTAGCTCTTGCAATTTTGTACAAGAATGTGGGGGTTGCAACTTTTGCAACATTGATTGCTACGATTGTTTCCATTTTAATTACTATTCCACTGGCTAAGATGCAAGAAGAATATCAGGATAATCTTATGGCTGCCAAGGATGAAAGAATGAGGAAGACCTCCGAATGTTTGAAGAATATGAGAATCCTAAAGCTTCAGGCATGGGAGGACCGTTACCGGTTAAAATTGGAGGAGATGAGGAATGTCGAGTTCAAGTGGCTTAGGAAGGCCCTTTACTCGCAGGCTTTTATCACCTTCATCTTTTGGGGTTCTCCAATATTCGTGTCAGTCATTACTTTTGGTACTTCTATACTACTGGGGCACAAGCTTACTGCAGGCAGTGTCCTTTCAGCATTAGCGACATTTAGGATTCTCCAAGAGCCTCTAAGGAATTTTCCAGACTTGGTCTCTATGATGGCTCAAACAAAAGTATCTATCGATCGGATATCAGGGTTCTTACAAGAGGAAGAGTTGCAAGAAGATGCCACTATAAGTGTTCCTCAAGGGCTTACAAGCAAGGCTATTGAAATTAAAGATGGAGATTTTTGTTGGGATCCGTTAGCTTCGAGGCCTACGCTAGCAGCAATTCAGCTACAAGTGGAAAAAGGGATGCGGGTTGCAGTTTGTGGCGTGGTTGGTTCGGGGAAGTCAAGCTTTTTATCTTGCATACTTGGCGAGATACCCAAAATTTCTGGTGAGGTGAGTTAACTAAATACATTATTTACTGTTCTATTTCACCCTTCATGTGTATAGCCTTTCATATTTTTCTGGATATTTTCAGGTCAAGATCAGTGGATCCTCTGCCTATGTATCACAGTCAGCTTGGATACAGTCTGGAAACATAGAAGAGAACATTCTTTTTGGAAGTCCGATGGATAAGCAGAAGTATAAGAGTGTTCTCCATGCTTGCTCATTAAAAAAGGATTTAGAGTTATTAGCACATGGGGATCAGACCATTATTGGTGACAGAGGTATTAATTTGAGTGGTGGACAGAAACAAAGGGTGCAGCTTGCTAGAGCCCTCTATCAAGATGCTGATATCTATTTACTTGATGATCCCTTCAGTGCAGTTGATGCACATACAGGAAGTGAACTATTCAAGGTTAGCAATATTCAAATTGTTCCTAATTTTTCTTGATGACGTAAGATTACTCTTGTGTAGTAGTCAATTTAACTTATTGGTCTTTGGCTTACAGGAGTACATACTAACAGCACTAGCTACAAAGACTGTCATCTATGTTACCCATCAAGTTGAGTTTCTTCCAGCTGCTGATATGATACTGGTACGTGATCATTTTTCTTCGACGAATATATGTGCGAATAGCTTCTCTTCTGCACTTACTGTGCGTTGTGTTGTAATAAAGTATTTTAGTCATTGTACTGCATTATGATGCTCTCATATTAATTTGGATGTTAGTGGCTTCTGAATATGAATATGACTAGGAAAGGTTACTGGTTAGCACGTGATTGTTTAAAAGGAATAAAAATCATCCCAAACATTAGACTATGAATATAATGACAGTTCCAAATGAATTTACGACCATAGAGATCACTCTTACGCCTACTTGAAAGTTGAGGCTGTAGCCTGCTCTAGAAGACCTTATATTATCCAAACCTCATGTTTTTACTGGAGAGCCAAGCCTTAGTGCTGGCTCTTCCCTTGAGGAATGTCTTCCCTTGCTTTCCCATCTCTATTTGCTGAAACCATATGGGAATGCTTTCAAAGGACAAAATGGTGATCATAACACCAGCTCACAAGAAATTCTATGTGTGAATGCTTATAAAATAAGATGAATAAGCTGAATGTTATCCGTACAGTGGCTGGAAGGTTGGTTTAATTGCTTTTCTACTGATTGATCAGTCATTTTTTATAGTTTGTTCCTAACTATCACTTTAGATCATTAGATGACACTTTCTTTTTTGTCTAAATTCCTTATACATTCATGAGCAAGTGGATGTAAAATTTGGTAGACGATTGAACCTTCACAAGCAAGTAGAGAAGTCTTGACAAACCTTTGGCGTTGTTTACGCCATTAATATATGTAATTCTTCTTGTTTTTTAAAGTACTATTCACTAGTTTTAGCTTTCTCTCTGTCAGGTCCTTAAGGAGGGTCGTATAATACAAGCTGGAAGGTATGAGGAGCTTATGCAAGCTGGAACTGACTTCAATGCTTTGGTTTCAGCTCATCATGAAGCAATTGAAGCAATGGACATTCTAGAATATGCTTCTGAGGACTCCAATGGAATTTCCAATGCTGATGCCTCTACATTTAGGAAAAGATTGATGACAAGTGCAAGCAACGCTGACAGCATGAATGATGGAAAATCTGAAAATGAACATCAGTCTGATATAAAAGTAATAAAGGAGAAGAAGAAAAAACGCAGAAAGAAACAACTTGTTCAAGAGGAAGAACGGGAGAGGGGGAAAGTTAGCTTGAAAGTTTACTTGTCATATATGGCAGCAGCATACAAAGGGATGTTGATACCGTTGATAATTCTGGCTCAGACAGCATTTCAAGTACTTCAGATAGCAAGTAACTGGTGGATGGCTTGGGCAAATCCTCAAACCAAGGGAGATACACCAAAGACAAGCAACATGGTTCTTCTGGTTGTTTATATGATCCTTGCTTTTGGGAGTTCATGGTTTGTGTTTATTAGAGCCATTCTCGTGGCTACATTTGGATTAGCAGCTGCACAAAAGTTGTTTGTGAAGATGCTTAGGTCAGTCTTTCGAGCACCAATGGCTTTCTTTGATTCAACTCCAGCCGGCCGGATCTTAAATAGGGTAAGGAATTGCTCACAGAATTTAAGCTCTGAACTTAATTTCCTTGAAAATTATGAGTTCTGAACGTTTATGTACTTTGGCATCATATTAAATTGTCATGTACCCATGAATTATCAGGTATCTGTAGATCAAAGTGTTATAGATCTTGATATTCCTTTCAGACTTGGTGGGTTTGCATCAACGACAATACAGCTACTTGGTATTGCTGGTGTCATGTCGAAAGTCACTTGGCAAGTTTTATTTCTGCTCTTTCCCATGGCTGCTGTTTGTTTATGGATGCAGGTGATTCATAGTTCATAATTTCATTTGTTACTTGCAAGATCCATGATTATGTGATGCTTTATAAATGGGTATAAAGTTGATGCCTTTATCTGTAACCTGGGTAGCAGGGGTGCGGACACAGATACAGACATGGGACACGGGACACTGCAAATTTGTAAAATATAGGATACGGGGACATGGCTATGTATGTGTGTGTGTGTAAAATTCACATTAGATCAAGCACTGTATTAAAATACATATAATATTTGTATGTTTCTTTCTATTATCTATAACAATTAAGAACCAATTTAAATAAAACTAAGAATAAGGTTTAACAATAAAAGTTTAGTTTTGATCGTATGGGATAATACAACAGGTATTTTTTGTAGGCTCCTGAACAGGATCGGCCAACAATACAAGACCTGAAAGCTTTATAAAACCTGTAAACAATGTATGCAAACAAATAGAACCTGGCAGATTTTTTTTTCAGCAAAACGGACAGCAACAAAACAGAGGAGAAAATCTCTGTTTCGGTTGATGAACACAGGCCGGATGGAGCAGGAACTTTTCTCTGTTGATTTTATTCACGTTGTAACAACTCTTAAAAATTGTTTACATATATATAGGAATAAGATTACAACTCTAATCTTTGTCCAATAACTAGGAATCTATCCACTAACTAGTATTCTACCATAACTAGAATTCTATCTAATCACTTGGACTCAAACTAACAATTCGGACTGATTAACAAACTCACATTCTCCCCCTTAATCTGGACGAGACTCCAAGTCCCTTACTCCTAGCAGCTCCCGCATCTCGATGAACTTCACCCTTGCTAGTGCCTTCGTGAGAATATCTGCTCGCTGCTCGCTCGTGCTTACGAACTCCACTTTAATCTGTCCTCGCTCAACACACTCACGAATGAAGTGAAAACGTGTGTCGATATGCTTGCTTCTTCCATGGAAAACTGGATTCTTCATCAAGGCAATCGCAGACTTGTTGTCGACGAAGAGTGTAACCGGCTTGAGCTCACTCCCAATCACCTTGCTGATTAAACTCCTCAACCACAAGCCTTGGCATGCTGCTGCAGTTGCCGCTATAAATTCTGCCTCGCAGGATGATAATGTCACCGTCTTCTGCTTCTGTGATGTCCAAGTGACCAAACTGTCACCTAGATAAAATGCCATGCCGCCTGTGCTGCGCCTGTCATCAACATCTCCCGCAAGATCACTGTCAGTGAATCCCACCAACTCTTCATTGCCTCGACCTCGTTTGTACACCAATCCGTATATATATATGTATATATATATATATATAATATTGAATTAAAATATCCATAACACTTGTATGTTTCTTTCTATTATCTATAACAATTAAGAATCAAGTTAACTCAAGCTAAGAATAAGGTTTAACAACAAAAGTTTAGTTTTGATCATATGAGATAATATGATGGGTATTTTTTAAATATTTAAGTAACGGGTTTTAGTTTTTGGGTAAAAAATCGATTGGTTTTGAACCCAAATTTACCAAAGAAACTTTTAGGGTATAATAGGGAAATCGGGTTTTGCTTTGAACCACATGTGTCCATGGCATATCTGCGGAGAATCCGTGTCTGACACGTTTCAGACACAGACATGCCACCCAAAACACCTTGTCCGAGTAACCTAGTCTGTAATTCTCTCGTCCTTTCCTACCATTAGGGCTGTCAATTAAATGGATGTTCTAAAGTGCTCTGCTGCACGCCCATAAGCGAGTGAAGAATAATTAGCTCTTTGTGATTCGATTATAAACACAAATGTAAATGACAAGTGTTGACAATACAGTTTTTCTGGATCTTTAGACCATCCGTCAACTGACTTCCAAATGAATTTATTTTCTAGAATAGAATAAAGAAGACCATTTGATGGATGGTTTAGAGATCTTAAAACTATATGATTTCCACACGTATAGGATTATGACTGATGAATGGTACAAGTCTCCACTAGATAATTATGAAATTCCCTCTTAGTTGAGTTTCATAGGGTGTCATCTCACCTCCTTGTGTGCGCGTGCATACCTAGGCATGTGATTGAGTGGGCTCTGTGTGTGTATGTGTGTTTACGAGCACATCATACTTGCGTGTTTGTGTGTGTATTGTGTTTGTGCATGCACCCATAAACACATGCATTTATTCCTTATGCAAATTTTATCTATGTATGTCCCAATGTATGTGTATGCATGTGCGTATGCATGGCTTGTCTGGAAAATGCAGTCTGGATTATTGTACTTTCACCTAATAAATAAACTTTACTCACTTGTTGATGAAAACTGTTTGCGAAGCTAAGAATTTTAAAATTCGTAGAAGAAACTCAAATTGCAGTACTATTTTCTTTAATACTTTAGCCTGTGCAGTTTTATAGATTTATGCGAACCTAGGAGATGAATGTTTTGCTGCTTTCAAGTTAGCTAGTTTCATAATACTGAGTTCAAAGCTCACACATGTTGCAAACCCGATTGTGACAATTTTCCATCTTGGGTTATGTTTTTAGAGGAGGACTTCCTCATTCACGGACTAGCAAATGTTTTCAATTGTTAACTGCAACTAAATGGCCACTAGATATATGCCTAGTGTCATTGTCATTGTATTTGTAAGTTCATCCATGTACTGTTTTATATGGCTTGTTTATGAATCTTACAAGGGAATAGTCTAGATAGTTGACATTTCTCATTAATATTTGGATTTATCTAAAAAGAACTTTGCTGCTAATGTAAATGGAAGTGTCTGTTTTGCTGCTAATGGAGATGCCCTTGCTACCGAAGTTATTAAACAATAATAGTGTCAAGGTTTTTCCAAACTTCTAAATATTGTTTCTGAGTTCTTGATGTTTAATGGTATTCATTTATATCAAACTGTGGAGATAGAGCAGCAATATTTTAGCCCTAGCCATTTTAGTAATTCTTCGTAAATGTGAGCCTGTCTGGCTATCTACTGCATGTTGATTGTCGTTGTTTTGCCTTTTGAATTTATCATTTCTTCTCATGTTAAGGGATCAATCCAAGTAAGCTACATGCTCGGTAGGCATACTAAAAAAATGTGTTTACTTCCAGATGTAGAAATCCGACCTTGTATACTCTTATCCGAGGCCTATGAGTTGATTCACTGAGACCAGGTTAAGCTGCAAATATTCATAGGAAATGGAGTAAACTAATCGTTTTACTTCACAGTTATTTTCCCATATGCATAGCTGTACCAGCATATGAATTGTTCCTAGCTTACTGGTGGTGCAATGAATTATTTGATATTTTTGGATCGACTTTGTTAAGAGTTTTGTTTTCCCTTTTTCTAGAAATACTATATGGCTTCTTCAAGGGAACTTGTTCGAATTGTTAGCATCCAAAAATCCCCTATAATCCATCTATTTGGGGAGTCTATTGCTGGAGCTGCTACCATTAGAGGATTTGGTCAAGAAAAACGTTTCATGAAGAGAAATCTGTACCTTCTTGACTGTTTTTCTCGGCCATTTTTCTGTAGTCTTGCTGCAATCGAATGGCTGTGCCTGCGGATGGAATTGCTATCGACTTTTGTGTTTGCTTTCTGCATGACACTCCTTGTGAGCTTTCCACATGGAACTATTGATCCAAGTAAGCAACAACTTGTAGCAACACATATAATGACTTTTTTAGTTGTGAATTATATATCAGATTCATACTATGTCACATATTTTTCTAATAATGTTCGCATCATATTCTTGTCAATTCACTTGATTTATAATGAGTATATTTCATTAAAACATTTTCTTCTCTGTAACATTTACCATTTTTAAGTAAATATGCTTTTTTGTATAGGTATGGCTGGCCTTGCCGTTACATATGGGCTTAACTTAAATGCTCGCTTATCACGGTGGATATTAAGCTTTTGCAAACTTGAAAATAAAATAATATCCATTGAGCGCATCCATCAATATTGCAAACTTCCCAGTGAAGCACCAACTATCATAGAGAATTGTCGTCCTCCGTCTTCTTGGCCAGACCATGGGAAAATTGAACTAATCAATCTAGAGGTACGCAGTTTAAGTTTATCTGTTCTACTATGAAGCTATGTAATAGAAGTAATATTTATCTAAAGCTATATAATAGAAGTAATATTTATCTAAAATGTTACCGAGTACCTTCCTTTATCTAGCTTTAATCTGCATAGTTATTATGGATAGATAACATTTTCTTGTTTGAACAGACTTGCTAACAACGGTTACATGCTTATATGCACATGCACACATTCATATGTACAAGACCTCACTTCTTCTATGACTATTATCATGGTGGAATAATTGCTAAATATTTCACTCATGCTAAAAAGTCATTGTAGGCAAGATAAATCTCACTCATGCTAGAAAATCATTGTAGGCAAGCAAGATCCAATGAGGTTATTGAGTAATTGTTTTCAAAAACATAAAATAGTTAAAATGTACACAACTATGAAAAAGTAGCCAAAAGAGGGGTAAAAGTTTTAAGTTAAAGGAAAGATCCGAAGGTCCAAAACAATGAACATGGAGCAGCTATTAAATTTTTATAGAAAGTAACTGTTTATATTGGGTTAAAGAGTTATAGGACTCGAATAAACGATTAATTGTTTTAGAAATTTAGGGCTTCAACAAGGTTAATTTGATGATCCAGACAGATCTGGTCCTACAGACGGTTGATTGAGACAAGTGTTGTTTAGGAATGATGAGAATTTTACACGCTAGAGAGTGATTGGACAAAGATAGATCTAAAAAGAGAATTAGACAAGCAGTGATCAACCCCTCCACATTTATTTGGGTTAGGAACTGCACACTATATGCTAAGACCCAATTTAATCTGTTCACAACTTTGACTTTCTTAGGATTCCTAAACAAGTTCTCCATCATCAATCCTAAAGCTAGTGATTAACATGTTGCCCTTATGAATGTATCGTAAATTTTCCTGCAGCATCATGGATATGGACATGCTGTTACAGGTGTATTTCTTGATATTGTTTTCCTCATTACTGTTATATGTACAATTTCCCTGCAGCATCATATGGGTTTCTTTGTTAGGTTTCTGTGAGTTGTGCCTTCTGGATTGTTCATATGGTCTAACACTGCCATCAAATTGTTAAATCCTTATTTAGATGAGCTTTAAGTATTATTTTCAAGTATTACTTTTGAGAATTTATCCTTAGTTACTTTTTCATTGTGAATTTACTACTACAATAATATGCTTAAAATTACAAACTTCCTTAGGACATTTCATTTATAACTGTAGAACCATTTGTTTATTGTATTGGAGTGTTAACTGTGGTGGGAGTTGAAGTCCACGCGTTTCTCACATTAAAATCCACCAGATTTCCATGTAGATACCAGAAGTAAGTGGGTAACTAATTGACTTTTATTGTTTTGTGCCCTTGGTAAGGTTCGTTACAAGGAGAGCTTACCTATGGTCCTTCATGGTGTAACTTGCACATTCCCTGGCGGAGAAAAGATTGGGATAGTTGGACGAACTGGAAGTGGTAAATCAACCCTCATACAGGCTCTTTTCCGTCTAATTGAACCTGTAAATGGGAAAATCATCATTGATAATATTGACATTTCTAACATTGGCCTTCACGATCTTCGGTCACGTCTTAGTATCATTCCACAAGATCCCACGTTGTTCGAAGGTACAATCAGAGTAAATCTTGATCCCCTTGAGGAGCACTCTGATCAGGAAGTCTGGCGGGTGAGAGTGATTTCTTTAAATTTTACTGTTACAAGAAACATGGATTTGTCTATTGGTCAGTAATTTTAATTTTATCTTGTCCTTTTCTCAGGCGCTTGATAAATGTCAGCTTGGGGAGGTGATTCGTCATACAGTGCAAAAGCTTGAGGCCCCAGGTTTGTTACATGAAGATATGCCTTTTTATTCATTATCTAAATTCTCAACAAAAATACGATTTTACTTGCGTTCCATCTTGGCGTATTTTTTCTAATGTTGTTATGTCTTATGATTTCCTATTTTTCTTGTTTCACTTGCAAATATAGTAATATGGTATCAAGGGAGTTAATTCCCTCTTTTGTTTTCTCAAGGAACATTCTTAACCTGCTGACAAACTTTGCATTGACACTCCTAACTTCTGTGGACAAAATTTTCAACATTCTTAACCTGTGAACAAATTTTTTCTCAAGGAACATTCTTTAGGCCTAATATAGGGTGACAATAAGGTTTCATGAAAATAAATACACCAAGCTAAAGCAAAACGACACGCATGCAAGTTATTTATAAAGAAAATAAGCAAACTAAACTAATGAAGATAAATACACCAAGCTTAGAAGAGGTAACAAATTTTCTAAATTCAGGAGCATGATATTATTTGATGTAATTGCTAAATCAGAACTGGCATTTATCCTTGTAATATTGTCTTTAGGTTATTCTATATATCCCAACAAGAATAGTTCAAACTATTTCTAGGTAGAAATTAACTAGACCATAATGTTTTCAAATTCTGGATCAAAATGTGAGGTCATTGCGGGAGAAGTTTGGATTATATCTGTTCAATTATGATATGATCTACTCTAGAAAATTTATGCATGTGTCTCGCACTCGTGCGCGTGTCCTATATGATCGTAGAATACCTAATGAAATTGAAGAGAAAATTATATAGGACATGTAAAAGATCAAAAATGTTTTGTAAATGTTATAAAATTAAGAAACAACTTATGCAAAGAGATGAGTATAGTAGAAATGAAATTGTTATGATGGACACGGAGATATAGGCTAGAGAGATAGGTATGAAATGAGGGCACTTTTAGGAAGTTAGGTGTTGCTCCTATTGAATACAAAATGAGGTTGAGATGGTTTTACCATGTGCAATGGCCAGTAAATCCGCCACTAGGAGAACTGATTAAATTATAATTAACCGGACATGGTTGGGTAGAGAAAGACCAGCAAAATTGTCAAGGCTTTGTTGGAAGCAATTAAGAAGGATATGGTAGCGGTTCACAATGAGATATCCCCGACTCCAAAACGGTGAAGGCTTTGTAGTTGTTTGTGTTGTGTGTTTGTGTATGTGCATGAAGTGTGTACACACACAATCCATATCTATGTGTATATGCTTTTCATACTGTTCTTCATCATTGCCATTGTAAATCTGATACCTTTTACTTGCAGTATTGGAGAATGGAGACAACTGGAGTGTTGGACAGCGCCAACTCGTTGCTTTAGGAAGGGCATTACTGAAACAGGCACGAATTCTCGTGCTTGATGAAGCAACTGCCTCTGTTGACACCGCCACAGATAATCTCGTTCAGAAGATCATCCGAACTGAGTTTAGAGATTGCACTGTATGCACCATTGCTCACCGCATCCCAACTGTTATTGACAGTGATCTTGTCCTGGTCCTCAGTGATGGTAAAGCTAGTTCATCTACATTCTTTTCGCTATTATACATATGTTTACCTCGAAAATTTCTTTTCACTTCTAGTTCATTTATTAATGAGAATTATTGGTCCTGAAATTTTTGTCACCAGTAGATGTGCTTTTCTTTGTCTGTACTCTTTGTATTCAAACAGTTATATAGTTTCTCTTCAGAGAGAAACCACTATGAGGTTTCAAAAGTGATAGTTTGGCTCTTCAGTTTCGATTTCTATGGAGTTAACTTGGATATAAAATCTATGCTCATAAAATATGATAAGTATTGATGTATACTGTCATACAAATATGTAGATCATTACTTCAATGAAAAAAGTGATGATTAGTTCATTACAAAATGAAAATGACAGGGATAAAGTGTCACTTTTAAAATCCTACATGAGTTTTTTGTGATTCATACAGACTATTTGGGCCATATTCTGTAGTTTACGAACTGTGCAAATTGAAAGATATAGATTGCAGTTTAGGACTGATTCCCATGTTTGTTTAGAAATTACCACCTTGCGCTTCATTTTTTTTAATTACTCGAATCTCCCTAATTGCTATCTAACATTTACGCTATCTATATAATTTCAGGTAAAATTGCCGAATTTGACAGCCCCCAGAGATTGGTGGAGGACAAGTCGTCGATGTTTCTTAAGCTAGTCTCTGAATACTCTACGAGATCTGGTAGCATTGCAGAGTAGGACACACATCTAACATTTACGTATCGGTCTACCCAATTGTAAAGGATTAGAAGAAGAAAATAACAAGCGACGACGTCGGTCACCTACTAAATTTCCTTTAGCCCAGGAGAAATTCTGTACAAAAACATTGAACGGATTCTGGTAATTTTTACGAGGAATAATAATAATAACAACGAAAGAGCTCAATCAATGAGCCAGAATCTTCTGTGAAGTCTAATAAAGCCATTTTGGTGTCGGCTCGGAGGCAAATTTCTCTTCTTTGGCAGGACCCGATGTTGTTCTTTCTTCTCTTTTCCTTTCAGGGAAGAAAATGCAATGTAAAAATTAGATGGTTATGTACTTTTTATTTGAACTGAGAGGTATATATTGCGGTGTTTTAGTTATCCTTGACGTTCTTGTCTCAGGATCGGTTGTCAGAATCGCAGGACAAATTTTCAGTCGTTTGTTGGGGCCAGTTTTTTATCCCCTCTGTTTTTCGTGCCACTGTTTGTAATGATTTATATATAAAGACTGTAATTTTCATATTTTTTGTTATAGTTAATGTTGTTGCATGAGTTGGCTCATGCTCAGCAGCAGAAAGAAAACAATACAATGCAAAAACTAATTCTCATATGCAAGTAATTCCGTGATCTACAAACCATTATTCATCTTTCAGCGACGATAGTGAAACAAAAAAAAAAAGAAAAAAGAAAAAAAAGAAATCAGTAATAAAGAAAGGTAAATACAACGTAATGGGGTATGGAAAGAGAAGGTATATTATCTACTTTGATATGCTGCAGAATAAATCCACAATACGGTAAAAAGGCAAAAATATCTTAACCAAAAAGGTTAAATTTTATAAAACAATCATGAACTATATAGGAGTTTTGCACACAAGTACCATACGACTATTTTATTAGAAAACAACTCAGTGAACTTCCAGATAAAACCACTAAACTATAATGATTTTTCCATTATTTTCTGATAATTATCCTGGAAATTTTTACATTGTGATAAAACTATCATATACTTTTAACTAGTTTTGCGGTTATTTTCTATTGTTTTGATAGTTCATGACAGTTTGTCTTTATAAAAATAGTCTGTCATATTTATATTCAAAATCCTAACCGTTCATGGTAGTTTCCTGTGAAATTTAACCAAAAACCTCGAGTACAAATAAGTTTTTAGTCAATAACAGGAAGAAGAAAAAAGTAAAAACTATACTCCCTTTAAAAGTGGGAATTTAAGAAAAACATTCCCTAGACGAAAGTACTCTTAATCATTTTGATTATTGCATTGTTATCCTATCATAATTAGTAACGTTTCATTAGAATTTATTAACATGAATTTTGTGCTATTTACAAGTGATTAAATTATAAAGTTAAAAATCCTAAAGTAATTTTGTCTATGAACAGCCTATGTATTATAGTTTATTTTAAGGTGTAGTCATTAGTTAAAATCCTATCATCAAACAAATCTTTATCCTATAACATGGACTTACCTTAAGCATGCATGGTTATGTATGCAAAGTTGCAAACTTTATGCATACACCCCTCTTCTAATAGAAATTCTACTAAATAAATAACTAGCTATAGAAAATATTCATCTAAGCCCTCCAAACTTTTTTATTTACAAGTTAGAGCTAATTAATCCACTTTGCTGTAATATCATCCTCGCACATGTCAGTATCGCAATTACCAATAAAAAGGGATAATATTTCCATCTGTTGATGTTCGATATCACACAGCCAATGAGAGCTATCTGATGATAGATGCAGCTCAGATCTTCGCGCAGATGACGGAGAGTGAGAGGATGAGAGATGAGACCGCTTCCTACTTTGACTTTATGCCTGGTTCTTAGAGCTCGGGACTAACGGATGACCTGCACACATAAGAATCGTGAGAGAACGAGGCTTGTTTCCCCCGTGGTACCTCCGACGATCAAGTCAGTTGATAAACTTAAGTGGGGTGAAAGAAGAACGATGTCTTCTTCCTTATGCAATATGTGCTTTATTTTGGGGGTTTTAGATTGCGAACCTGCCGACTTGCGAACGAACCCCTTTTTATGGCGGATAACATCTGTATTTATAGAGGATGCCAAGGGCAGATTGGTCACTTTGTGAGTGTACTGTAAGACGGTGGTGAGGGGTGAGCTGGAGGTTGAGTCACCCTTTGTTCTATACGTGTCGGTTTATGAGTGACGGGAGGTCATTTCAATGATATTAGGAGTCAGCAGCCGACGAGTCTTGTCAGTTTGTGAGTGACGGGAGGTCACTTCAGCGATATTAGGAGCCAGCAGCCGACGAGTCTCGTCGGTTTGTGAGTGCGACTTGCGAACGAACCCCTTTTTATGGCGGATAACATCTGTATTTATAGAGGATGCCAAGGGCAGATTGGTCACTTTGTGAGTGTACTGTAAGACGGTGGTGAGGGGTGAGCTGGAGGTTGAGTCACCCTTTGTTCTATACGTGTCGGTTTATGAGTGACGGGAGGTCATTTCAATGATATTAGGAGTCAGCAGCCGACGAGTCTTGTCAGTTTGTGAGTGACGGGAGGTCACTTCAGCGATATTAGGAGCCAGCAGCCGACGAGTCTCGTCGGTTTGTGAGTGACGGGAGGTCACTTCAGGGACATTAGGAGCCAGCAGCCGACGAGTCTTTAGACGACTGAGGACGAAGACATAATGGTGATCATCAAAGGTTAAATAATATTGAGAAGTAATATTCTGGGTCGTCCTCGGGAGGAGTGCTAGCTAACGTTGAGTAGTGATCTTTTGATATGAAGAGGATCGACTGAGTCTACCTCTTGAGTCGCCTTTGAGGAATGATGCCGACTCGATTAGGGGAGTGACGGCTTGGCTGTCCTTCAGTCGACTTCGAGGAGTGTTGAATCTCTGGAATGCTGATTTTCGTACCAACTAACACTGCCTTCCGCGTCGGCAGATTGTGTCGGCTCGACTGAGGGGTCGAGATGACTTGAGTCGACCAACAATATCTTCTAAGGGTTCGCGTGGTGGGTAAAGGTGTCGGCTTGCGGGGTTGTATATTTGTGGAGAATAGGGGACACCCTATAACACCATCTAACCCTCCAAACTTTTTTTTATATATAAATTAGAAATTATTTCAAATTTAGTTTGACAATTCAAATTTAATTTATTCAAAGATTTCTTTAGGGGTTGTTTGGTTGTTGTTGGTAAAGTTGTGTATTTATGACACAACTTGAAAAATTGTTGTCCACCTCATCAATTTTACTTTTATATTTTTCTTTGTTTGTTTTTGATTCCATTGGAATCATAAATTGCTTGTTTGGTTTGTAAATGTAACTTTAATTGTTTATTTGAAAAGTGTAAAAAATGGTCCCTACTCAAATGATCATATTGGTTGGAATTATTTTTTATTATTTTTTCCTGACTTCAATGTCAACTTTCTCCTAAAATAATGACTTTTTTTATGAAATCACTTTACAAGTCACATCAGCATATGAAATCACTTTACACTATTTTCACAACTACAAACAAACAATTGAAAGTGATGAAAGCTAACATTGGGACCCACTTTTTTACACACTTTTACATGGTAAAAACATACAACCAAACAGCCCCTTACTACAGTGGATATGATCATCATATGAAATAATAATAATAATATATGATCACGTGCAACACAGCTGCACCAACCTAGTAAAAATAATAATAAAGGGAAGAATAAATACGCACGAGTTCGGATCCAAAACCGAACCCGAACCCTCTTTACCGCTACCTCCCTTTTTTTGCCTCATTTCATCGCCAAACAAACCCCCCTGAAAACAAAAAATCACCGAATTCTTCCAAATATTCGCCACTCCATTGAAGCTCTGAGAGAAAGACGAAGACGATGGACGACGATGAGCTTGAGGCGATGCGAGCTCACTTCCCTCTCTCCTTCGGAAAGAAGTCCAACGCCCAAACCCATCTCTCTTCCGTCCACTCCGCCACCCGGCGCTCGTTAGATCCCTCCCCTCAAAACCCTAACCCTGACGCGGCTGCTGGAGATGAAGAGGACGGGTTGATGATCGGGCCTCCGAGGCCGCCTCCTCCTCCTCCTCCGTCCAGTCGAGCTGATGATGATGGCGTTGGTGATGGGGAAATGATTGGACCTCCGATGCCGCCGCCGCCTTCTAGAAGAGTTGATTCTGATGAGGACGAGTCTGATGAGGAATTAGATGATGAGCCTGAAGATTTTAATCGGATTCCGTTGAGTAATGAGATTGTCCTCAGAGGGCACACTAAGGTAATCTCGGTGCTCTTAACTTTTTGTTCCATCTAGTTAAATTTTCAGTTATTGAAATGTTGAAATTTAGAATTTAGGCTAAAAAGCAGATACTTTGACTAATAAAAGAAAGGAAAGATGACTTTTTTAGGCTATATGGATCTGTACTTATCAAGTAGATTCAGTGTTTAACCTCATAAAGATGTCTAAAGGGAAGAAAAACTTAGTATGTTCCATCTAAAGTGAATTCCTCGTAACTGCATTTTGTTTTAGAAATAGCGAAACCTACCTCGCCTCATGTGCAACTTTTCTTTCAATCGCTATTTACATTCTTGTCTATCATAGCTGAGTGAGGTTCCCCTCTTTAGACCAGTATGAATAGACCCAATATCTGTTCTCAGTTTATTCTTCAGCTTATCATAGATGGTTGAGGTTCCCGCAGCAGATTTTACCATCTTCCTCCTCTTTACATCTTTCTATCTAAAACCAGGCTATCACTATAACTGGTCTGTCTTGCTTGCAACTTCGCTTTGGAGGAATAATCTTATTTATGATATCTTAACTAGTAGTACTTGAAAACCAATTGCTGAAGAGGAAAACATGTATCACTTATTCCTAGTGGTGTAGCCAGGATTTAGACTTTTTTTGTTTTTTGTTTTTTGTTTTTTTTGGGGGTGTATATATATATATATATATATAGAGCTCCTTAATGGAAACAAAATTGTCAAGTAATGAATTTAAAACAAAGGTCCTTGTAATATGCCAACATATTAAAAAAATAACACATGGATATAATCAAATGAATAAATAAATAAACTATTTATGTCTAGGATTTGCAAAACATATATATAATTAGATAAATAAAGCACATAGGAATATAAATCAATAACTAAACAATGATATATGTTGGTCATAATAAAAAACATAAGAGAATGAGAAGGGGGAAAATTTTATACCTTCAGGGTTTCGAGAATACACCATATCTCTAAAATTCAGAAGAAAAGACCCAAAACTAAGATCGAATTTCAGGTGTTGAGTTGGATTTAAAAAAATTATATTTGATGGGAAAAATTCCAAAAGAAAGTGCATAGAAGATAGAATTTCCGAGCCGTGACCTACAGGGGATGTTCTGTGATGTTTTGAGGTGAGTGTTTGGATTCGGGTGGTTTAAATCCAAACCGATTACCCATTAGACCCCAATTCTCTTGTTTATAGACTTTGGGCTTTGCAGTGGGCTTTTAAGTATAGTTTGCTTTGCATTCAGCAATGAGTTTGTGGCCTTTTAAGTATAGGAGTTTGCTAAAGGATTTAGGAATTGGTTTTCTTTTTTCTTTTTGTGTTTTGTTCGGGTAGTGCATATATGTATAATACCATGTCCTAAATGTAATCTAAGCATTTCTAAATTCAATATAAGCATACTTTGATTCTCGATTGCATCCTGAAACAATTTTGGTCTTTGATATGCTAAACGGTCTTCGATATGAAACTAATCATTCGATTTAACAAAGAGAAGTGCCCAAGTCCTGAAACTTCAACCACCAAGCCAACCTGGGACAGTTTTGTAATTTGACTGTTAAGAAAAAATAGCTTTAAACCGATATAATAGCATATCGGCCGATTTTTCAAACCTGAAAAATCGGCCGATATGGCCGATATTGCGCCGATTTATCCGATATTCTCCCCAAAAACGACATCCGACTTAAGAAAGCCCGACTTGTGTCGCTGGCACCTTCAACCCGACATGTCGGCCGACATGTCCGACATGTCGGCCGACATTTAAAACACTGATTTATTGTGAATTAAAACCTTCAACATGTTACCCATGGTACTGAAACTGAGGTCATGCCGTTAACCGGAGTCTACTTGTTTTTGACAAGGGATGAAAATTAAAGTACTTTGTGATAGAGATCAGTGTGACCTAATGCGATTGATAAGAAAACTATTGTATTTGTTAATTAATCAGCAATCACCTGCGTGCATCTCTTCATCAGTTATAAGATGAAGAAGTAAAATGACTGTTAGTTTCTGGTTTACCTCTCAAATGGAGAAACTGAGATATCATTGATTAAGCAAGCATAATCATAGTAGTGTTCGACATTGTAATAATGGAGATATGTGTATTACTCTATCATTAATTCAGCACGTAACCTATCATTAGTGCATCATCATTTTTATAACTGACCATAAAAAATAACATAAGATTGATTGCAAATGCATTATTGAAGTATGTGTGTTACGCTGTGTTATATTCTTTGGTTTGTTATTACAACAACTACAACAAGAAAGCCTTTATCCAAACTTTTAGGATATGCAGCATGAATCTTACTCTTGCGTTCAGTTATGCAAGGGTTATCTTATCTCCTTCATTAAATTAACCACTACATTCCTTTAATTGCTTCCAACCACGTTATATTATGCCAGCTTACCTTATCTCTCTTATAAAAAACTTCCTTCAACATCATATGTATTGGACGATAATGTTAGCATTCCACTTTGGGCCTATTTGGATAACCAGAAAAAAATGACTAGTGCATTATAGGAAACCATTTCCTGTGACACTTTTCTTTTTTAAAGAGTGGTTCCCGTTCCCTCTTGGAAACCAAGAGGGAGGATGAGGTGGCACCCTCCCATTGGTTGATTAGACACAAACTTCAGGAAACCCAATTCATAGTTTTTTTATTATTATTACAGGAAACGGCTTGAAAAGGTTTCTTCACCCAATTTTCTTTTTCTTGGGTTTTAGGAAATTAACCTAACATCCACTTTAAATATTTGTGTTAAGTTGCATATGTACTCAACGCATTGACAAGTAATGAGGACATGATTATGTCGTAGTTACCATTTCATATGTTGAGAAGTATGAGAACATTATGCTTGTGAGCGTGTCTGGTTAGATGAAAACCCCTGGGAATTATTTTGAGTTTACGACCTTAACTTCGGTTGACTTCTCGTTCATTTCTTCGTGGTATTCACTTCATTTATGGATTTGCAACTTTGCAAGGGTTTGCAGTATTCAATATGATAAATCACAATTAAAATTGATGGCAAAATTGTCACCTGATTCCGCAATAGTAGCTTTTCCTTGAATAACCAAATGTCAGTTGACTCTTTGTGAAGCATATTTAATTTGTATAGGTTGATCTCGTGCAACTAATGGTGATTGTCCATGTGTAACTTCTTTCCTTGAGGGCTGTATGAAGGAAAAATAAGTCACATTTTTCTGCAACTAGATACAAATAGTTATTGGTAACACACTCAAGCTTTTTCCAGTATTCTAGGACCTAAAAGTTTGTCGTCAAAAGTTCCCTATTTTCTGAACATGATGATGAGAACATCCAAATACGTGCACGAGACTTTCACCGTGTTTATCAGCGCAGGAAACGCTGTGTTTCAGCTTTGTACCGGATTCCTAACATCTGGTTTTGATTTGATTGATGACATATTCGGCAGCTAGAGTGGATTGAGCGAACTTCCTATTTTGTTAGATTTAAATTTTGAATTTTGAATTTTGAATTTTGAATTTTGAATTTTGAATTTCGAATTTCGAATTTTGATTTTATTTGGTAGCTAATTAGTTAATTGATTGTATTTGATTATGAGAGAGATTTGAGGGATTTAGAGAATTTTCCAATTCTGTAATTTTTCTTTATTTAAGAACTCTTGTAATCAGATTGGAATTATTGATGGTTGAAATAAAGTTTGCATTGGCTTATTTGTGGTGTGAAACCCTAGGCTGGTGTGCGTTTGTTTCTTCCAGCCGTCATCTTTCTTTGTTCTCTGCCGTCATCTTTCTTTGTTCTCTGCTCCACGTAAACTCCCAATCACATTTTCGTCTTCATCCCTAAGCAACAACAGAAACCCAATGCCAACTCTGCCCTCTTCCTTGTGAACACCACTTCCATTCAATCAACTCTCCTCTCGTTCATCTCTCCCCACCACATCCAGTCACATCTCTCAACCCACCCGCGTCCTCCTCAGCGACGCCACCACCCCTTTGTCCACCTCCAACCATCAGATTTGACTGCCTTTCCCCTAGTCCCCTTTCTCGCCGCCGCTCCCCAAAGCAATCAACGGCCTCCCGCTCCCCTCCCCTGCCGGCGACGAACCCAAGCACCACCCTCCCATCTGCAGCCGTCATCTCCTCGCCCAAACAAATCACCCGAGTTCCCTGCAGCCACCACGAACCCCACGAACCCCACAAACCCAACTCGTTTTCCCTGTCCGACGAACATTATTCCTACAGAGACAACTCTGTCTCGTCTCGTCATTGTTGCCGAGTTGGATCTGACTTTCTATGATCTGTTGGTGCATGGCCGATCCTGACGTTGAAGATGCCGCACTCGTGATTGATCAGGAGACTGGAGTAGTGGATTTAGATCTTTCCCCGTGGTTTGATTATCAATCATTCGAGAGCGTGCCCGAGTACATCGAGCGTGTGACTCCTCAGATCGCGATAGCGTAGAGAGCTACTTGGGAATCAGTTCGTGGCATCAACGTTTCCATCTGGATACCACTTCATCCTAATTACGTCGCCCTCGGTGGAGAACTTCCACCCCTCATGTTTGGCGTCGTCGAACAGCCTCCAGAGGATCCCCCGTCGAACCAGTTCAACCCGACGAAGGTTTAACTTTCTTTCGCCCAAATATTGTTGGAACTGCTGTTGCGTGCATGTTGTTATCAATATTATTATCGATTGTGCTTGTGCTGTATTCAGTTTGATTAGTGAGCGAGTGATTCAATTGCCAAGTATATTTGCCAGTCTAAATATTACAAATTGAACTGTATTAAGAGAACGAATCATTACATTATTTATCGGAATAATTTTACATGTATTAAGAGAACGAATCATTACATTATTTATCGGAATAATTTTACAAAGGTTCAAACTTAATACATTGTAACTTTTGCTTAAAAATCATTACATTATTTATCGGAATAATTTTACAAAGGTTCAAACTTAATACATTGTAACTTTTGCTTAAAAATCATCGTTCGCTTCATTTTACTCTTGAATTTCCTGCTTAGATCGATCGCTGACTTGGTGAAGCACTGTCACGAATCTTCATACCTGCATAACATTGTTTCACATCACATGATTTCTCACTGTTTTCTTATGGATTATTTCCTCATTCTTTTTGCAGGTGGTTTCCGCTCTTGCGGTTGACCACTCAGGATCAAGAGTCCTTTCAGGGAGTTATGATTATACTGTTCGTATGTATGATTTTCAAGGGATGACTTCCAAACTACAATCCTTTAGACAGGTGGAGCCATGTGAGGGGCATCAGGTCCGCAGTTTAAGTTGGAGTCCAACGTCAGATAGATTTTTGTGCGTAACAGGTTCAGCTCAAGCTAAGGTGTTTATCCACAAAATCTCGCCAATCACCTAAGTGTTTCCATTGGATTTGATGAGTGTAGACGTAACTGACACAATCATATTCAATTTCAGATTTATGATCGTGACGGCCTTACCTTGGGCGAGTTCATAAAGGGGGACATGTATATACGTGATCTCAAAAATACAAAAGGGCACATCTCTGGATTGACTGGCGGAGAGTGGAACCCTAAATCTAAAGAAACTATTTTAACATCTTCAGAAGATGGATCATTGCGAATATGGGATGTGAATGACTTCAAAAGTCAGAAGCAGGTATTATCTATAATTTGATTTCCATTTTCATGATAAGCTCAATGTAAGTCAGATTTGAACCACATACTGCAGTTTTATAAACAAAGTATTCAGCAGCTATTTTTTAGGTTCTAATACAAACAACTGAACGTTTTAAATGTCACTGGTCGTTTTTTGCCTGAAAGTTTGGTTTATGCACTTGTAGCAAATCATTCAATTCAGTGCAAGTTTGAGCTCCTCTTTGAATATTTCAAACTGATGCACATAAAGATTAATGCATGCCATATTCTATAAGTGATACACTGCTTCATATTATGTGAATGAAATAATTACGTCAAAATATTAATGTCCTTTTTTCCCATTGATAGGTTATCAAACCGAAGCTTCCTAGGCCATCGAGAATACCAGTTACTGCATGCGCATGGGATTACGAAGGCAAGCGGATTGCTGGGGGCATTGGAGATGGTTCAATACAGGTCTCCAGATAATCCTTTGCTTTTTATCTAGAACAAATTGAGGAAAAAAGACATTTATCAACATTTGTAGCTAGTTTACAGTTTCATTCCGATTTTCGCCATTTTACACAGGATCTCATACTCTACAGGTATGGAGCATCAAGCCTGGATGGGGAAGCAGACCGGATATATATGTAGAAAGAGGACATACTGATGATATCACAGGAGTCAAGTTTTCTACAGATGGGCTGATTCTTCTGTCAAGGAGCATGGACAGTACACTAAAGGTAGTCGAGAGTTAATTCACAGTTCATAGCATTGACCTTCTGTTATGGTGATTCATGCTAGTGAGGTGTTGCCTTCTTTTAATATATTATATATACTAGCATTCGGGTGCACGAGATGCATGCATGACACAAAACGTGAGGGAACGTTATAGTTGAATGTCAAGGAAATACTTGAGTGCTTTTTCAAGTTGGATCTCTTTTTCAATTTATCTAACTCAAGCATTTTCAAATGTTAGGCTATTCACGTTTAATTTTTTTTTCAAGCGTGGGAGCATTTTTGTTGTTTTTTTCAAAGTGTGAGGGCATTTACATTGATTTTTCTAGGTGCAAGGGCATTTCTGGAATTTTAAAAATGTTGCTGACAAAGACCAAAAGGGTGGCTTTCTTAATATATAGTATAGATAATTAAAGGATAGAACATAGAATAATGTATTTCTAACTTATGCATAGGTCTGGGATTTGCGGCAAATGAAAAGCCCTCTTAAAGTTTTCGCAGACCTGCCAAATCATTATGCTCAGACAAATGCTGCTTTTAGTCCCGATGAGCAATTGATTTTCACTGGAACCTCTGTTGAAAGAGAGGGCACAAGTGGCGGGTTGATGTGCTTTTTCCACCGAAGGAGACTTGAGCTTGTATCAAGGGTGGGAATTTCCCAAACACACAGTGTAATTCGCTGTGCTTGGCATCCAAAGATCAATCAGGTAATTTCAACTTTCCAGCTTTATTTTTTTTCACACGTACCTCAAGTTCTTATGTAATCTGAGGGTGTGTGGAGGGGTTTATTTTTAGAATCTTTTAAGTTATGTTAGCTTTTGGTGGCATTTTGCTTTTATGAAAAGAATTTTATAAAACCTGTATGGATAGAATGGTCATTTGCTTTGTCACAACTAGCTTGTAAGCTAGTTTTTAAAAAGATTTCTAACTTTTGTAAATGCGACTTAACAGTTAGCTTACTTGGGGCGTTACTAAACAAATATTAAAGGAAAAGCTAGCATAAAAGCTACTATCACAAAAGAAAAAGCCTTCCAAACACCCTGTATATCTTGCAATCTAAAGCTTCTTGTAGTGTAATGATTCTTAATTTTTCTGAGTTTTATGTTCGAACTGCTGATTCCGCATATTCCGTGTTACTGGATTTGAGGGTAGAAGATTGTAATTCATGCTATGATATCTTTTTTGTGAAGGTTTTTGCAACAGTGGGGGATAAGAAGGAAGGAGGAACTCACATACTCTATGATCCATCAATAAGTCAAAGAGGAGCACTCGTATGTGTTGCTAAAGCACCACGAAGCAAGTCTGTTGATGATTTTGAAGTGCAACCGGTGATTCATAACCCGCATGCATTGCCGTTATTTAGAGACCAGCCTAGCCGTAAACGCCAACGAGAAAAGGCTTTGAAGGATCCGATGAAGTCTCATAAGCCTGAACTCCCTATGACTGGTCCAGGCTTTGGAGGAAGAGTTGGTACCACTAAAGGAAGCTTACTGACTCAGTATCTTCTCAAGGTACGCAGTTGTTTTATACAATTCTACTAAAATTTATTTAATTTGAGAAGTTAATGGCATTTAATTACTTAATGATGGATTTGCAGCAAGGAGGGTTAATGAAGGAGACTTGGATGGAAGAAGACCCAAGAGAAGCAATACTTAAGTACGCTGATGCTGCTGCAAAGGAACCGAAGTTCATTGCACCTGCATATGCTGATACTCAGCCGGAGCCTGTTTTTGAAAAATCAGATTCCGAGGAAGACAAATGATTCAAGTATTTTTAGTATTGACATAGTAAGCGAACAAACCCTGGGATGCATGCAAGGTATTGATGTTACACACAAGTTTTTTCTTACATATTGCTCATAATTGAGTCTAGACTTCTTACATATTTGTTTCACAAATAATTCATAACTGATTTGGTGACGCTTGGTCTTTAAGTTAATCTAATAAATATTATTTTAAGTTATAATTTCTCTAGACTCTTTGCAGCATTGCTTTACAAATAATTCATATCCAAATTCATTACTTTTTTAAGAATGCGTCTAATGAGGATTCTATAAATTAGTTTCTCTAGACTTGTTGCATTTTTTTAAACAAATAATTCATAACTAATTTCATGAACCATGATTATAGCTTTTATTGCAATATCTTTTACATTATCCTCTGTGATATACGCAGGTTGGATTATCAATTGCGAGGCGATGAAGCCATGTGAAGGCAGAAAAGAAGAGGGTTGAAACTTGGACAGAAGTGTGGAGAGGCTTTAGGACACTCGCTGCTTGTAATGCCCAGTTTTCTGAAACACGAACAATATTATCAATTTTCTGAATGCAGCTTGTATTTCTTGTTGATATACAGGTTATGCTGTAAACCATGCAAAATTGAGGAGGAGAAATGAGATGGTTTTGTACAAAAGTACCAAAAAAGACTAGAATAAATTTAGTTGTTGCTCATTCAGAATCAATGATCCAGCTTGTATCTTGTACAAATGACGTGAAGGTTTTACTTAGATCCGCCACGAGCTGTTCCGATAGAGAAGTAGCTCCTTAAAAGCTAAATCTACTATGTTTACCCACTATTTCTTGAAAACAAAAATGAAAGATAAAAGATACGGAGTTCCTTTAATTTGTCTGGAAATTAGAGCTGAGATTAAGGCTCTGTTTGGAAAAACTAGCTGAAACCTGTAATATTATATCTGAAAGCTGTTAAGCTAGCTGAAAGCTGTTAAATTGTAGCTAAAAGCTGATAGCTGTGTAGCTAGCTGATTGAAATAGAACTGTTTGGTAAAAGTAGCTGTACAACTAGCTTAAATTTGTTAAATAACTAAAAAGGACATGCAATATTATTGTGTACTTACCTTGATATGATGAGTTGGACAAACAAAGGAAGTCCAATGGGAGGGTCGAAACTACCTTGACAATGACCTTCAATGGAGATGAAGGAGAAACATGGTCAGGAGAAGCAGAATGGGTGTCAGGCGTGAAATGAAAAAGAGCTAGGGTTTTTTGGGTGGGGTAGACGGAAGGAATTTTTTTTTTGGGTGGGGTAGACGGAAGAAAAAAAAATTGACAGATCATTCCCAAAGACAAACGCTACTTGAGATAGTTTTCCAAAAGCTACTTGTAAAAGACACAATCTCCAAAATAATCTCTTCAGATTTTTTATCACCAAACAGCTCTACTAGCTTATTAACCAAGTCAATAAAACACAATCTCTTAGATAAGATACAATCTCTTGTTGCCAAATAGTGCCTAAGTGATTCATCTTAATGTTCCGATATTAGCATCAAAACTGTATCATTTGTGGCGAAATAATTCTTTAGGTCGGCAGATTTAAATCATACTCCCTTTAAAAGCACGAGTTCAGGAAAATCTTTCTATGGTCAGTATTACCCTTAGTTTTTTTGAATATTACATTGTTATCCTAATCTATTCTAATTTTAATCATATATTATCTAATTCCACATCAACTATCTATAAGTCAACAATTTAAAAAAAAATTATTTAGAATATTTTACTTAAATCTTAATCTATCCAAATACTAATTATATCCTATATTAACTCCATATGAACTACTATCCAAATACTAATTATATCCTATATTAACTCCATATGAACTACCTATAACTCAAAAATATAGAAAAAATAAGATTAAGAAATTATACGTAGATAACATATTATAATACATGAAGTATTATAAAAAAACCCAAAAGTTTTAAAAATTACATATAATAGCCTTAAAAGTTTAAAATTACACAAAACACTTTGACTTTTTTAAACTTAAAAACAAACATGATATCTAAAAATTTAAAAACTTGTAATTAACACCCTCAACATTTCAAAAATTATAGAAACAACCTAAAAAGTTTAAATGCTAAATTACATTTATATACTCTGTGTTTCGCTCTTGAAGCAGTTATATACTCTAAGTTACAAAATATAGCAAAAAAATACCCTGAGTTGGCAAAAATTTGCAAGTTAGTACCTTCTGTTAACCAGCTGTGAGAATATTCTCTGGAATATTAATACCCTCAACATTTTAAAAATTATAGAAACAACCTCAAAAATTTAAATGCTAAATTACATTTATATACACTATGTGTTTCGCTCTTGAAGCAGTTATATACCCTAAGTTACAAAATATAGTAAAAAAATACCCTAAGTTGACAAAAATTTACAAGTTAGTACCTTCTGTTAACCAGCTGTGAGAATATTCTCTGGAATATTTCCACGTGCTGGACCTATGACCAACTTGAATACTTCTTACCCTCATTTATTGTATTATTTACTGTATTACCTACACCCCCACCACCTCCCCCACCCGCAAATTAGATTATTTTCATCATCATCATCTTCTTTTTGTGGCCTCCAACTTCTTCTTCCTCTTTAATATGGATAGCAGTAGAAAATAAGAGCTTTCACTATGTTGGGGGGGGGGGGGGGGTTAATTCTTAAGGAGTGACATTATTGTCCTTTCATGTATTTTTTAACACTGTTAACTAAATTTAAATAGTTACCAACTCAGGGTATTTTTTTGCTATGTTTTGTATTAGGGTATATAACTACTACAATAGCAAAACAATAGGGTATATAAGTGTCATTTAGCCATGTTTAAATTACAAAAAAATATTCTAAAATTCAGAGATTTCAAAACTTAGAAACAACATAGATGGATTCTCGGGATTACCATTAGGCACATAGAAATTTAAAATTAGTAAAAAAAATAACCTCAAAGGTACAAAAATTACAAAAACTCTCTCAAAAGTAAAAAAATATTAAAAAAATTCTAAAATTTAAAACTTATAACTGATACACATCAAATTTAGAAATTATCAGCAGATTTCTAAAAATTTAAGTTTTTTAAAAACAACCCAAAATTTTAGTAATTATAAAAATACCTTCAAAATTTTGGAGTTACGAGAAATATTCTAACATTTAAAAACTTGTCACTAATACATGAAACATAAAAATTATAAGCACCAAACTTAAAATTTTCATAAAATACTATCAAAGTTTAAAAATTGTAAAATACACCCTCAAAAGTTTAAATCACAAAAAGGCTGAAATTTGGCAAAGAAAAGAAAAAATGTTTGATATTATTACATTAAGATATAATAGGTTAGCATTAATTTATTGTAATGTATAAATATTTATCTCTAATGTTGATAATATTTATTTATAAAGTAAAAAAAAATACAAGGAGCTATGTATAGAGAAACTATTAGAAAGTTCAGAGATATCCTTTAAAAGAACTAAGTTGTTTTCATTTCAAATGGAGAAGTGAAGGAAATAAACTCAAAATTCAGAAACATTTATGAATCACCTGAATTGACATTGATAAAAAGCATATCGAGCAAAGAAGCACTAACCAAGTTCTCTTTGAAGAACATATTGAACAATTATGTCCTAATTTTTTGAATAAAATCTTTCGAAGTGATTTTCATGAACTCTTTTAAATTTTTTTATATGGTTATGCGGATACTTTTATCATATAAAAGTGTAATAGAGTTAGCATTAATATTTATGTTATGATTTTTTTCTAAAGTCTATCAGTGATTAGCAACAAAATTTATATTCTCTTTAGTTTCATTCTAGCCCACTTTTAATTAATCATCTTGTCTTATTGGCTTTAACTATTCATCCTTTTTTTTATAACATTATCTTTTCAAGTGTTTTTCACTTTTACAACGTTATACCTTCTTAAGTCAAGCTTGGTTTCATGCCGGTCTAAATAATGCGAAAATTCAAATTAGGTTTAGATTATAGTTATTTCTTATCAATTCAATTATTACATAAAAATTTTAAATTTGGTGTAGCCCATTCAAACAAACATTAAAAAAAATCACAATAGTAAAATTTGAAAACATAAGTGAGAAAAACAATCAAGGTGGAATTGAGAAATAAATTTTAGTAAAGAAATAAGTCAAAAATACTTAATCATAATATTTAATCACGTGCATTGCACGTGCATAAATCCAAGTAATGTAAATAACCTCGACACCTATTCTTTAGGATGGCAGATTTAAATAATGTAAATAACCTCGACACCTAATTACAGTGCCGGAGTAGGTGGTTCAGTTGGTTGGTACATTGAGCCTCAGAGTGGGGACGAACTTCAATAGCGGCGAGTCATGTGCTCGAGTTCCTCTCTCAGGTAATTAACCCCCCCTCCCCCCCCTCCCCCCGCCAACACTCGCAGCGTGAACCAGGATTGGTCCCATCCAATTGGATGGGGATGCTTCGTGGCTCAGACCCAAAAAAATTATGGTATAAGAGTGCATATGCAAATAGTACCTGTGAGATGCATTCTAGGTTGGCCAAAGTTGGGCTTGGAGCGTTTTATATTTGGACTGCCTTTCCATGCGATCTACTTGACTCCAGCCCATTAAAAGCCCTTTTGTATTCACATCTGAAACGGTTTCACAAAGGACATCTCTACAAAATCCGACCCGAAACGTAATACCCGATCTAGTATTGTATTACCCTCAATCTAGGGTTTTTTAGCTTCCTCTTTCCTCCCGCCTCCTCTCCTGGAACCTAGGGTTTTTAACTCGAGAAGAAATTTTCAAAATTGTCTCAACAGTTTTTTTTATTAAAAAAAATAGATCTCATTCATTTTTAATTATAGAAATCGATCAACTTTGAGTTAAGTATGGCACTAATTAGTCGGGTTGCCAATCCTGATTAATTAGTAGGTTAATTACAAGCGGGGTTAAGAAACAAGGAATATTTATACTGCTAATTAGGCTACTAATTAGTCGGTGTTCGCTGCCCGACTAATTAGTATCGTAGTTAACTCAAATGGATGGATTTCTATGAATAGGGTGGATTTCTTAAAAAAAAAATTCCGTTGAGGCGATTTTGAAAATTTATTCTCTCATAAAATCCGTCGATTTTCATGAAATTTTTGCTCCAATAACAATGACAGTAGTCATATCCATGGAAGATATCGAAACCAGCGCCCAGCGGGCGGGCATCGATATCTCTTCCGTCGATCTCGACTCCATCACTCTTCCTCGTGGTGAAGATTTCGGAATCGAAAGGTAAAGATTCAAACTTTATTCATTTCAAAATTTGAAGTTCTATTCACAGTTTCTTTTCAACATTTGCAGTGATGACGATGAGGATTTGTATCAAGAGGATCCTCTTGAATTTGAGGGAGGATTTAGAAACATCATCGTTGTTGATAATCTACCAGTTGTCTAGAATTGAGTTGTCTAGAATTGAGAAGGCCTGGGATCAGTTTGTTATTCATGCTGGTGCTTTGACCAAGGTTTTCTAGAATGATCCTCGGCAGATGATGCCTGAGCTTGTTTACAGGCGCCAGAGGTAAGCAATGACTGTCACCTCTGATGAAGTAAATTGAGTTGTACGTTCACTTTCTCAGTTGAACTTGAAGTATGAAAATATATCCATCTAGTGAAATGAATGGATACTTGTGATATCATTAACTATCTATATGTAGCAATTCGCTGGGAAAACTTGTATGGGACATAGGTTTTAATGAAATGATTTGCTTTCATTCTTGAATGATAAGGAATCTCTCTTCTTGTTCGCCATGTCTTTTCTGACCTACCCAAAATGTTACAACCAATGCTTGCAGTTTAAGAAATCCTAATTTCTAACCTTGAAAGTTTAATCCCAATACTAAGCTATCTCGTTAAAAATCTAACAGCCAACTGTTACAGTTGGTCTTAATTCTTTTCAGTGCACAAGTTGCATCCTTCTGTGAATATGAAAATTCATTTTTTTATCGTGACAAAGCCTGGTAGGAGGTGGTCTTCACAGAAGTTCTTGATATTGGCTCTTGTACTCAAGGTCCATCGTGATTTACTATGATGTGAACAGTTGCCAAAGCAATAAACTATGCGGTCAGTGGAAGACCAGGATTCTAATCTGTGGAGCAGATTGCTGTGTTGAATATTATTCTCTTCATATTGCTGTTGTTATAGGTCATCATGTTGTTGATATTATTATTTATTAGACTTCCTATTTTTGTTCATTAAAATTTTGCTTATGAGTTATGCTTAAGTTAGCAAATGACTCTTCCCTTTGTAGATTGTTTCTTAATTTTATTGTGGCCACCATGTGATGTTGGCATTTTCGCTACATCGTTCTCCCTTTGTAGATTGTTTCTTAATTTTATTGTGGCCACCATGTGATGTTGGCATTTTCGCTACATCGTTTTCCTCATGTTGGAACTCTAAAATATCTATTGTGGCCACCATGTGATGTTGGCATTTTCGCTACATCGTTTTCCTCATGTTGGAACTCTAAAATATCTGCTTTGTTGTGGACATCTGAGTTAGTAGCTATTATATTACTCTGGCATCTTGAATCACATGCATTTTCTATCTCATGTTTCTTGTGAGTATATATGGAGTAGTAGTTATTTTACTATGCTTCAAAGTTTGGTAAATTCATATTATTTATTTTTATTATTGCCCTTGATCACTCTAAAGCGACAATAACTAATAATGGGCTTCTCATTTTGCAGTATTGGACTGAGAGTTTTGTCCAGTGGTCTCCTCTTGGGACATACTTGGTTACAGTCCACAGGTAGGGTGCTGCTATCTGGGGAGGTGCTGCTACTTTTAATCGCTTGATGCGCATCCACAGGTTAGCTCTGTTTCTAATAATGTCTTCTTCATGAGTTTTGATTGTATGTATAAACTATACCACATTTTTTTTACGTAAAACAGGTGAAATTGATTGATTTCTCACCTGGGGAGAAATATCTGGTTACATGCGCAGCCATGAGCCCAGTAACCCACGAGATACTCATGTAAGTAGCTTTAATTGTATTAGTCATTTAGTCCGGCCTTTTTCTTGTTTCTCCCTTTTGTATCTCATGATTTCATGGTTTGTTTGACTCAGAGGGTTGTACTGAATATTTTCAATGTTCGAACTGGGTAAATGTTGCGAGACTTAATAGGAAATGCAGATGAGTTTACTACTGGTGGAAGTGGGGTGTTTCTGGAGTTTCCTGGCCCATATTCAGGTAAAATTAACAGTATATCCCTGTCCAAATGCAATATCCTTAGTTTACACTCCCTTATTCCTTGTGTATGTATTCATATATACTTCAGGTGGGGTGGCGTAAAAGAAGACAAGTATTTTGCTAGAATTGGAAAGAATATCACATCTGTGTATGAAACTGGGACTTTCACTCTGATTGATAAGAAGTCTCTCAAGGTTGAGAATGTCGTGGACTTCAGTTGGTCTCCTGCTGACCCTATACTAGCTCTGTTTGTTCCTGAGCTAGGCGGTGGAATCCAACCTGCAAGAGTAAGCTGGAAGTTTTTTTTGTAAGTTATTGTTTTTGCAATAGAATTATCTAATTCTTTTTACCTTCTATAGGTAAGCCTTGTTCAAATTCCTGGTAAAGAGGAACTAAGGCAGAAAAACCTCCTCAGTGTCAGTGATTGCAAAATGTATTGGCAAAGCATGGAGAATCAAGGAAAGAGACATTCCCATTGAGGTCCTAGAGCTCGAGACCAAGACTGAGAAGATTGTTGCATTTGCCTGGGAACCCAAAGGACACAGATTTGCCATTATCCACGGAGATGGCCCACGACCTGACATAAGCTTTTATACTATGAGGACTGCACAGAATGTAGGCCGTGTCCAGAAGCTTACAACTCTCAAGTCCAAGCAGGCTAATGCTCTTTACTGGTTCCCTGGTGGCCGATTTATTGTTCTTGCAGGGCTGAAGGGTTTTTAATGGCCAGTTGGAGTTTTACAATGTTGACGAGCTAGAGACTATGGCCACTGCCCACTGGTGAACATTTTATGGCCACTGACATTGAATGGGACCCTACTGGCCGGTAAAGACTGTTATTTAAAGATTTCTAATTTCCTCCCATAGCCTCGATGCTCTTCTTTTGCAGATGTTGATTTTTGAGTTAATATTTGCGTTTACAGTATCCTTATGCCTCACTTTTCTCATTTATGCCCCTACTGTTCTTGTACTTTTTAAGCACATTTCTTAAGAAAAATTTCGATCAGAATTTGCGAATATGATTAGTGGCCGGCTTGCATCTTTTCTGCACTACATAAATGTTGAAGCTGAGAGGTCTGAGGAAGGGCCATTGTCCTTCCTTACCATACAATCAGCTTTATAATGTTTGGATGACATTAAAAATTTCATGAATGGTGCTAGATTCCTTGTTAGTGAATTGTTACAAAATCCAGAAGACCTATAAGAGATGGATTAACACCTGTCCTCATTTAGGGGTTGATGTTTCGCAGTATGTGGGCTTAAGTTGTAAGCCCAGTTGGAGGTCGCTATGTCTTTGCAGCTGTTTAGGTTATGGCTTTTATAACTGACAGCTTCAGCTTAAACTGAAAAAAAAGGAAGCATTGTGCAGCAGTACTACGAATTGCGACTCACTTTTAAGTTTTAACAATGTAACATAGGGAAACCTGCTCTCTTGGTTCATGCCAGGGGACAGCCTTCATATAAACTTCAGATGAAAGGGAAATGCATCAAAGCTTTCAATAAGGAACTGCAGTTCAAAAGCTGGGTAATCAAGTCAATATGACATTTTTAAGCACTTCGTAATTTAAAATTTTAACACTAGGTTGTTATAACCTCTTTTGTGAAACTTATTTGTTATCATGTGAATCATATACTATAAACACCTTTGCATCTATAGGTATGTTGCAACCTCTGTTGAGCGAACAAGACAGGAAGAAGAGGAAGATGCTGCAAGAAGAATGGGTTGCCAAATGGAAGAAAACGCACGAGGAAGACAGAACTGAGGATACAGCTTAGAGATGGAGAGGCGAGCAATGAAGAGGAAGAGTATGAAGCTAAAGAAGTGGAAGTTGAGGAGGTTTTGGAGGTTCAAGAGGAAGTCAGATAGCAGGAGTTTGAGTAGGACCACTATTTGTTTTAATGTTTTCTTTGGAAGTTAAAAATCGAGATATGGCAATATTTTACTTGAACTATTTCTTTTTCGAGGCCAGGTGATGCAGTCTTTTTGTTCTGTTGCTGATGCATATTGTCCTGTTTATCTAATGTGTGTGGATCTCTACCTTTCATAAAAATGATTGCCTCGCCATCATGTTCATGTTTACTATATTCAAGTATTTTCAATTCTTAAGTATAGTTTATGACGATTACCTGCTATACTGTTCTGATTATTGGTTAATCTGTTTGATCCGTAGTATCGCCCAATTGTGCGTAGGCGCCTTTTGTTGTTGCGGATTGATCCCTTGTATTGTTGCGTATAATCGTGCGGCTCGAACCCCACAATTGCATCGAAACGGCGCAAACAAACACTCGGAAACAAAGGGGCGGTCGACCGAACTGCAGGCGATGATCAGTCAGAATATCAAGTACAAGCTGTCTACGTTCATCCAGAAATATGTTTATCTGCTGATATGCTCTCACATGCCAGAGTTTTACTCTCGATGTTTTTAACACCTAAACCTTGTAAATATGCTGCTGCGAACATGACTTTTTTTTCCCAACAATGAATGCCAAAATCCTTACCTTTTCCTTTCGAGTGGAAACTAGAAACTTGAAAGTCCACAGTAGCTAATAAAAGAGCTATTTTCACAAGAAAAGTGAATTACAAAACATCAACTAGAAGTGATTCAGAAAAGACTTCTCTGAATGATTGCAAAAACACGCCTCAACGGACATCTTAACAAATTTGGTCTCTAAAATCGACAAAATTCACTATCAAGAATTTACAATCTGAATGATCAGAAAAAAAAAAAAAAAAAAAATTCTCTGGTCACAGTTTTCACCCCGCCAGCGGAAAAAAAAAAAAAAAAAAAAAAAAATTCTCTGGTCACAGTTTTCACCCCGCCAGCGTCAACCACCTTTTAACCTCCTCGCCCCTTTCTTCGTTACGTCACAATTCCTGACATTTGGAACACAAGAAATCCACCCTAAAGGAACCAATGCAGCTAAAATTTGCACTATAATCCCCAAAGGCAAGCTCGAATAATCCCCAGAACTTACTCCAATGAAAGAAGCCAGTCCAACACCAAAAATACCACTGAATATCGATGATAAACACAACACCGAAGCAAAAAATGCAAACAAAGACCCCTCACACCCAGATGGACATAATCTCGAGAAAAGTACTGTAAAAGGAAGGATCTTAAACTGCGCTATAGCCTCTGCTAAAGCCGAGAAACACAAGACATATATTTCATTAGAAATCCCCAATATAAGGTTGAATTGCTTCGCTAAACACAAGTCCAATAGGAAGGAGAGAGCATACACTGTTTGTACTCCAAATATAAGACTCCTCATAGGTATCCTCTTTAAATATCGGTTATAGATAACAGTGGCTGAGAGAACCATGAGCTGACCCATAACTTTAGAAAGACCAATAATCGAAGGATCAAGATTTAGACATTGGGTCTGAAAACAAAACGAGGATCCAGATAGAAGAGGAACAAGGGCAGTAGAGGCCACAATCCATAAGAGAGGATAGAAAATCCTCTCCTCGTTGATAGCTGTGACCAATTCGGAGAACTGTTTGCTGAGATTTTCTGATATTGACCTTTGAACGAGATCTGGGGAGGGAAGTGAAATTTCTTTGGTGTTTAAAGATAGAGCTAATTGGATGGTGAGCAGAAGAGCAAAGGTGAAGAACATGGATTTTGGTTCTTGGGTTTTTAGTAGGAAAAATCCACCAGAGAGATTGCCTAATAGTGCTCCAGCTGCTAGTGCTATGAAAGCATAGGATTGAAGCTCGCCTGCCTTCTGGGTTTTGCTGAACTCAGCAACAAGGGCGTCCCCCACTACCTCTGTTACTGATGCTCCGAGATTGCTCAGCAAAATGCATGCCATCTGAGTGGGAAAAGTCTCTCCCGTGGTTGGAATTAATGCAAGTGTGCCCCAAGATAAAGCCTGTAAAAGTACTGGAAAATGCATTGAAGTTAGCACAGGATTTTAATACTGCAAATACATATTTCTTCATTTAGTCGTTTTGAATGGAAATTCTCAAATTATTACTTGACGTTCTTAAATGATTTGGAGTCGCGGACAACTTAAATGAGTAGTGACAATTTTGGATGTTAAGGGGAACTGATGGTATAGATGGAAGAAGTAATGTACAATTTACCCTTGCAGAAAAACAATAGGAGCTTAGCAACACCAGGTTCTCTTTAATTATTAGAAGCATGAAGTTGTAGGAAGAAGATTAAAATTCCATCTTGATGCCTTTTCACACTGAATCAAGAGAAGACAGTATCGAGTAAAATCTATTTGCCTTTCCATTTTTAGTTCATGTCAAAAAAAGAAAGACAGGCAATACCACTGACGGTTTCTGCACTAACATAGACAAACTAGAAACAAATCCCAGAAATCATGGTGAAGAGAACCATTCAGAATGTGAACTTGACCCTTTGTTCAATGTTCACAGACTGGGGTATTTAACGTATAAAATCTTGATATCAAAAAAAATGATATTGATAGTAAGTTCTTAAATAGATTTTACCGTATAAGATTTGAGCTCATTGGAAACTCATATGACAATTGTAACCATAACTTCAAGTCACATTCCAACTTTAACAGGATAATTTTTTCTGTTGAAGGTGATTTAGCTACCACAAAAAGAATTGAAGATTATAACTGCAACTATTATATTCTTACTATTTGCTCTCTGACATGCACGTAAAATTTTTAACACTGGCTCGTCGAGAAATCTTCATATTTGTACAGCCCCAGTTGACTTTCTACAACGTTGCCTCTCATCTCTTCCATTCAAAGGCTTCTCCTCGTAGTCATTTACTACCTTACGTTTTTACCTTTCTTAGTTCTACCACTTCATTAATATTCTTTCTCCCTCTCAAGATGCCATTCGTGCATGTATGACAGTTTCATTTATCCCAACCATTTAATTTCCTGTAGGCTTATAGTCAATGTACCACCATTTAGTCCCAAATGCACATACTGATAATATAACATTCAAAAAGAACCTCCAGTTACATCATCAAGACTCCGATTCCATCCATCTAGTTTTCATTTGACTTTTGTAAGTCTACTCAAATAAAATGGCCATGCCTAGGTACCTATAATCAAAATTGATTACTCTGAATACCAAGAATGAGAAGATGCTACTAGCATCAATCATTTTTTATTTTTTATTTTATTTTTTGAAAAAAGGGATGGAGTCAAAAAAACTCCAGCCCAATTCATTACATTAGCAATTTTTATTACTATTTTTTTTAGTATCAGTCAATTTTAGCCTTTAACTTCGTCAATGTTGTGCTTTATTTTTATTGCCAGTACTGCCTGCTCCAAGCTAGGATAAGGAACGAGGGTTGCATTTGTGAAAACGGCGAAGGAATTGAGGAAAAGAATTGAGAAAAATGTGTAAAATAAGCAAGACAGACTTCACCACCTGGGGTAGTGTCTGCCACACCCAGGTGGCAGAATCTGCCCTGTTTGTCATAGGTGTGGTGTCTGCCACACCCTAGTGTGACAGAATCTGTCATGTTTACCATGAGTGTGGTGTGTGCCACAACAGAGTGTGACAGACTCGTTTTTAGAATCCTAATATGTTTGGGATTGTGTTTTGTTATAAATAGAGACATTTTTAGGGTTTCTTTGACTTTGATTGGGCTTTGATTAAGCATTGATTGGGGGATATTTGGAACACAGAAAAGAGATATTTTTGAGCTATTGGTTAGCATTTTATTTTGAAGAGAATTAGAGATTTGTTGGTGAGATTAGTTACTTGTTTTGAGTGATTTGTAATCTCAGTTTGTACTATTCTTCACTATTAGTAAAAATTCATCCCCTTCTTGCCCCGTGGACGTAGGCAACTTGTAATAGCCAACAAAAATATAAATAAATAAATAAATAAAATAATTAAAAAAAATCTTGTGGCGGAGATTTTCTCCACCGCTTTACCAAGTTGGTAAAAGTTCACCGCACTCCCAACAGTATTTAAGGGAGGAAAATGTGATAAATTCGGGTAAAAAAAGAAGAAGAAGAAGAAGAAGAAGAAGGAGGAGACAGTGAAGGAAAAAGGAAAAATCTAAGGTAATTTAATTTCTATTTCCTTTTATCTAATTAGTTTCTAATAGGATAGTGATTATGATCAACAAGTTTAATTTTTGAAATACCTATTAAGATGGTATGGAAAAAGGAAATAACTAACCCCTAGATCCGGCAAGGACCTCGTCGTCGGTCGCTCTTGGTCGCCGACGGTTTCCTCGTCGCCGTCCTGCAGCCATGGCGAGAGCGAGAGAGAGAGAGAGAGAGGAGAAGAAAACCGAATGAAAAAAAGAAGAAGAACAGAGGAAGAGGAACGGAAAAAAAAAGAAGAAGAACAGAGGAAGAGGAACGGAAAAAAAAAGAAGAAAAAAAAAGAAAAGGAACGAAGAAAGGAGGAGGAGGAAGATGATCAGTTGGGTTAATATTAAAGGAATGAATTTTATAAAAAGACCCTTAGTTATTTTTGACTTTGCTTATAAAACCCTCTTGAGTGGAAAATAGAATTTTGTGACCTAAGAATTCATTCTAAGTCCCTAAAAGCCACAAAATTTTGTAAGTAAACCCTAACAGAGAAAGCTAAAATCATATGTGAATAGAATAATTACATATAAACCCCTGTCTTATCATAAATTACTAGAAAGTCCAAAAGCTAGTATATGAGAGTTATAAAATTTTGATAAATTGCTAAAATTAACAATAAGCTCATATGTACTGTAGAATTTAATCATTATTGATTATATTTGAATTTATTAGACTCTAGATTATGAATTGATTTACCTATAATATATGTTTGTTCTGAATTAATAATTAGTCATATATCTTACATTATAGGTTCTGGTTGATATTCGGGAGACTAATATTTTGAGAAAGTCGTGACCACTAAATGTGAGTTCATTTCTCACTAGTATTTTTATAATATGAAATTGCATGAGTTTTATATTTGATTTATCTTGTGATGAAATAAATAAATAAATAATATGTCTTTTCATGTATATTAAAGATTTGACCTATGTCTATTGTGGTCTATCCTAAAATACGATGTTAGCCTCGTACGATATATGAAAAGCAAATTTGATTTCTATATAAAATATGAAAAAATAAATTTGGCTCTCATGTAATTTTCAAATACTTGTGGACTTTGTTTTATCTAAAAGTTTTTGATAAAATATTTGGAATGTATTTCAACAGTTTAACGGATTCAAAGATTTTATGTGACTTAGTATCTGATAAAAGAAAAGTAGATATCCATAAACTGTTTTAACTGAAATGAGAAGCTTTACTTTGTCAAGTTCATTTGTAAATGTTTGTAAATTCTGATATGCAAAGTATTACTCATTTGACATGTGATCTCGATGTTTTCAAACCCTCAAATAGTCCACTATGGATTGTTTCTGCCTGTCATATGGTGAATGCACTTTTATTTGGCTCTTCTGTATTGACCCTTTTGTATTGTCCCTTCTGAAATTTATTCTGACCCATCTGTATTTGGCCAGTAACCTATGACAGTGTTAGGTGCATTCGATTCCCGAGAATTATCTGTTATCTGATGCGGTTTACGCATTCCCTTGCTACTGGTCTAAAATTCGTAGCCTTAGTGTGACCTATGTGGTGACTTTTACATTCATGAATAACTCATCGAGAAATAAGATTTTTGATAATTGTTTGTGAAATTGAGAAAACAACAATTCTCTGATTTTGTACAAATTAGTAGTTCTTTTCCTTCTTAATGTTTACCTTGATTCAAAAAAGGTTTGATTCCAAGAAATTTCACAGTTTATTCAGTTGCATATAAGAAAGAAAATATAATTGTTGTATTCTTTCTTAAAGACGACAATATTATGATATTTGGATCGTATTCTGCTATCTGTGAATTTCTCATGCAAAACTTAAAATTTGTTAATTTCTGAGAACTATTCTTATAACTATTTTGTTAGTTATCTAGGAACTCTAGTGAGAAATGTTCTCACTGAGCACTAGCTCATTCCGTTGTTTTTAAATTTTTTCAGATCCGGCGTAGCTTCATAGTAGCCGAACTTTTGGTTTGAGCTTTTGGCTGAGAGACGTTATATGGATAGCCTTTTCTTGTTGATGTTACCTTCAGCACATTTTGTTTTGTTTTGTAAAAATGCTTATAACGGTGAGCTTGTGGGCTGTAAGTACCGATCATATATATATAGTTGCTCTGATTTTTATCATTAGCAGGTTTATGAATATTTTGAAAATAAACTATGTGATATGAGTTGATAGGCTTAACTCGTGCATAAGACTTCTCTCGTGCACGGGTCGCTGCTGTCGCGTACCCCGTATTTTATGAATTTTCGCTGCAGATTTCGGGGCGTGACAGTAAGGTGGTATCATAGCATTGGTTTTGACGTTAGAAACCTTGTAGGACACGCTATCATAGAATATATGCGCTAGATGAGTGTTAGCGTATGGATCAATTATGTGATATATATGTCTGTATACATATGTATATACATGTATGCATATAAATATTTTATAGTAAAGCCTTTTAGGTTCATTAAGGAGTGTTTAGATGTTTTTTATAGTAAAGCCTTTTAGGTTCATTAAGGAGTGTTTAGATGTTTATTTTGTTTTACTTTGTCCTTTTCTTTAGTGAACTAATGGATGGTTCCCTTTTTTGTAGGATGACGGGAACCGATTCATCTTCCAGTTCGTCATCTACCCTGTACAGCCCTGTGATTTCTGTAGATAGCTCCTGGGAACGCAGCTTAAGAGACTGGGGATACACTTCTGATGAAACTGATCCGAACTTGATAATGGCTAACCATATGATCCCCGACTCACCGGAGGTCGAACCCGTAGAAGTTGTTATGATAGATTCATCTGAGTCTGAGCTTGATCATGCTGAGGATGAAGATCTCGTGGTAGAAGTTGTTCCAATTGATTCATCACCTTCAGAAATTATTATGATTTCATCCGACCCCTCTGACATGAGGTCCCTTGTAGCTCAGATTCCTAGTGTCGACCAAAGATTTGCCCCCTCTGAGGGTGAGTCGAGTAACCTAGGCATTGGTTCAGAGCTCGACCTTGAAAGATGGGGGACTAGTGACATAGATCCAGATCCAATGTCCGATTCTGTTGATGGCCAAGACTCAGAGAAGACTGAACCAACTGAGGAGAAGTCTAGTTCCAGTAGCTCCTCTTCATCAGGGAAATAGAGCATAACTGTTAGGGTAATTTTGTAATATCAGTATATGGGTTCTCATAGTCACTCTTTTGATTTATGTAGGACAGTTTGGTAGAAAATATGTATATATAAACCCATATACTCAGATATATGTATGGACTAAAAAAGTTAAATATTAATAATATACTTTTGGTTTGTAAATACTGACTTGTGATATTATGTTGAGCAATGATTGAGTTCCTAATTACTTAAATTACATATATGTGACTGACTTAGGAATTTTTCCTTGTATAATAGTTGACTGAAATATTTTATTATTTATAGGAAGCTATGACTTCAGGTAATGAGCAAACCCTCCTAACGGAGATAGGGATCTAAATCAGACGATAGGTGAAATGATGAGATCTAGAATTGCTCGTGCATCCACCTCCGGAAACTCAATAGACAATAATGCATTGATGGATCTGCTGCAAGCGGTGACATCTGTAGTCACCAGACAACAAGATCAAATTGATCGTAATCGGACGAATGGTCAAAATGAGGAGCACCCAAAATTAAGAAGTGACATGGGAGAATTCAAGAAACTATCTCCACCCAGTTTTGAGGGAACAACTGATCCTATGATTGCTGAGCACCGGATCACAGAAACGGAAAAGGTCTTCACATACATGAGATGCCCTGAAGAGGAGAAGGTTGATTATGCAGTATACATGTTAAAAGACCGCGCTTACGGGTGGTGGCAAATGCAGATCAGGACGTTGGGACAGAAAGCATACAAGTTATCAAGGGAGGAGTTTAAAAAGATTTTTTATGAAAAGTATTTTCCTTCAACTGTTCGCAAACAAAAAGAACAAGAGTTTCAAAAATTAGAGCAAGGTGACAAGACAGTAGCTGAATATAAAGAAAAGTTCACTTATTTATCAAAATTTGCCACTCACTTGTTGGGTGAGGAGGAGGATCGAGCACGTCGCTTCGAAGAAGGGCTTCGACCGGACATTCGGAAGACGGTCAGTGCATTTGAACTCCCTACATATGAAGAAGTATTAAAGAAGGCCTTATTAATTGAGAAAAATAAAATTGATACAAAACCAAAGAATAAGGCGAGCAGCTCCTACCCAAAGAAGCGGTTCTGGCAAGATAATTGCGGTGGAAGATAAAAAAATTGGAAAAATAAAAAACAGAATTTTGGACGTAGAGAGGAGCAATATCCTAACCAGAAAACTTTGAGATGTGATGTTTGTCATAAACTGGGGCATGAAGTGAAAAATTGTTAGAGAAATACCGAAGCTTGTTTGAGATGTGGTCAGAAAGATCACAAAATAGCAAATTGTCCCCTACAACAATCATCTCGGAATACCTTCCAGTCTGGCCAGTCCAGTGGTTGTTTTCAGCAAAAGTTGAATTTGTTGTCGAATTCATTATATCTTCGGTTGATTACAATAAATTAAAAAAAAACAGCTTTTTTATAAGACTCTTTTACACAACAAAAAGAAAACTACAACTCTTGAGAAAATAAACGCATGATCGTTGTTTGGATCACTGCTTTCGTGGATTCTTTGCCTGTGCCGGGAGCGCGTTAGCTCGTGGACCACCGAATCACAAATCGTGAAGAGGGGTTTACTGATTCTTCCTTCGTTATCGAAGTTAGAAATTGAAACGATATCTTATCGAAGTAAGATAGTCGTTCTTCTTGACTTAGATCTCTGCTCTCTCTGCTCTGGAATGCTCTAACAAATGCTCGATCTGATCACCCCCCTGGAAAAATGGCCTTAGGAGGGTATTTATAACCTCCAAGAACAGTTGGTAGAAAACAGGTTCGCGAGACAGTGTTTGCTGTCTCGCTGGGCGAGACAGTGTTTGCTGTCTCGCTGGGCGAGACAGTGTTTGCTGTCTCGCTGGGCGAGACAATGTTTGCTGTCTCGACCCGCGAAACAGTAAATACTGTCTCGGAAACAGTAACCGCAGGCAGTTTTCGTTTTAACTGCCTTCCCACGTTTCAAACTCCGTTATTTTGGCAGTTATCCACGTGATTCTCGCCCACGACGTTTCCCACGTTCTTGAACAGTTAGTGGCCACATGTAGGACAGTTGCAAAGGTAGGTTTGACCATCTGAAAGCTGTCTCACGTGCGAGACAGTAAATTCTGTCTCGCACGGCGAGACAGCAAAGACTGTCTCGCGTGGGCGAGACAGCAAAGACTGGCTCGCGTGGGCGAGACAGAAAGTCTGTCTCGGCCCGCGAGACAGTAAAGACTGGTCTCGCACGGCGAGACAGTAAAGACTGTCTTCGCACGGCGAGACAGTCAAGTCTGTCTCGCGTGCGAGACAGTAAAGACTTGTGTTCTTCTGCCTTTTTGGATGATTTCCTCTTGAGCTGTATTTGGATATCTTTCAGCATTTTTTGACGCCTACAGTGGTGGGAACAAGCATCCTCAACCCAATGCCCGAGTTTATTCTCTAACTGAGAAGGAAGCAGAAGCAAACAAAGATGTGGTGACAGGTACGCTAACTTTTGCGTCGGTTCATGCTCGAGTACTATTTGATTCTGGTGCATCGCATTCCTTTATTGTTGCACAGTTTGTTAAGAGAAACAAATTACCATGTGATACCCTACAACAAGAATTGCTTGGTAGTACAACTGGGGCATGAAGTGAAAAATTGTTAGAGAAATACCGGAGCTTGTTTGAGATGTGGTCAGAAAGATCACAAAATAGCAAATTGTCCCCTACAACAATCATCTCGGAATACCTTCCAGTCTGGCCAGTCCAGTGGTGGGAACAAGCATCCTCAACCCAAGGCCCGAGTTTATTCTCTAACTGAGAAGGAAGCAGAAGCAAACAAAGATGTGGTGACAGGTACGCTAACTTTTGCGTCGGTTCATGCTCGAGTACTATTTGATTCTGGTGCATCGCATTCCTTTATTGCTGCACAGTTTGTTAAGAGAAACAAATTATCATGTGATACCCTACAACAAGAATTGCTTGTTAGTACACCTGGGGGTAGTATATTGGTATCAAATCAAGGTTGTAGGGGTAAAATTTATATTCTCGACAAGGAACTTCCCGTAGAATTAGTGATGCTAGAAATGCATGATTTCAATATCATATTGGGGATGGATTGGTTATCCTTAAATCATGCTTCTATTTTATGTCGAGAAAAGAAAGTAGTATTTAAATTTCCTGGTCAACCAAAATTTTGTTTTGAGGGCGAAAAGTCTCAACCACCCTTAAAAATCATCTCAGCCCTTAAAGCACATCGAGCGCTGAGGAGTGGATGTATGAGTTATTTGGCTTCAGTTGAGATGGTTGATGATGGAAAACCAAGCTTGGAAGAGATACCAATTGTCCGAGAATTTCCAGAGGTATTTCTAGAAGAACTTCCAGGAATACCCCCAGATAGAGAAATTGAATTTTCAATTGACCTAGTACCTGGTATGAGTCCCATTTCTAAGGCTCCTTATCGAATGGCACCTGCTGAATTGAGAGAACTCAAGACACAACTGCAAGAACTTTTAGATAAAGGCTTTATTTGGCCGAGTGTATTACCCTGGGATACACCAGTGTTATTTGTAAAGAAGAAAGATGAAAGTATGAGATTGTGTATTGATTTCCGTGAATTGAATAAGGTAACCATTCGGAACAAGTATCCATTACCAAGAATTGATGATCTATTTGATCAACTGCAAGGAGCTCAAGTATTTTCCAAAATTGATCTCCGTTCTGGTTACTATCAGTTAAAGATCAAGCCAGAAGATGTGTCAAAAACTGTATTTCGAACCCGCTATGGTCATTATGAATTTTTGGTTTTACCATTCGGGCTTACAAATGCACCTGCAGCATTTATGGATCTTATGAACAGGGTATTTAAACCTTTCTTGGATCAGTTTGTTGTGGTATTTATTGATGATATTCTGATATACTCAAGAAGTAAAGAAGAACATGAAGAACACTTGAGACAGGTGTTGCACACATTAAAAAAAGAACAACTGTATGCGAAACTTAAGAAATGTGAATTCTGGTTGGAGGAAGTAGCATTTCTTGGGCATGTAATTTCTAAGGAAGGGATTTCTGTGGACCCTGAAAAAGTAAAAACTATTGTTAAATGGGACAGACTGACTACTGTGACGGAGATCCATAGCTTTCTTAGAATGGCTGGCTACTATAGAAAATTTGTGGAAGGATTCTTTCGTATTGCTTCACCTCTAACTCGTCTTACTCAGAAGGGAGTTAAATTTATTTGGTCAGATGAATGTGAGAAAAGCTTTCAAGAGCTAAAAAGTCGATTAGTGTCTGCTCCAATACGTGCATTACCTAGTGGAGACACAGACTTTGCTATTTATAGTGATGCATCTAGAAGAGGATTGGGATGTGTACTTATGCAAAATGGAAAAGTCATAGCATATGCTTCAAGACAGTTAAAGCCTTATGAACAAAACTATCTCACTCATGATCTTGAGTTAGCGGCAGTAGTGTTTGCTCTCAAAATTTGGAGACATTACTGTTTGTTGGAAATTTGCAGTAAAAGAAATGAAAGAAAAATTAACTTGTATTCCTCTCAAAATCAATTACAATTTGGATTCCGATTACGAAAGAGAGGAGAATGGATTTGATTCTCCCCTTTATTTAATTCTGGGTTCTTCACGGTGGCGATGAGATGCCTCCCTCGAATGCTCGCGTCGAGTTTGCTTCTCGTTGACGATCCGAACGTCTTGATTCACTGGAACGATGTCTTCTCCTCACGATTTGACGCTGTGGAGAACTTGCGTGGCAAGTTTGAAAATAACTCTTAACGAGTTGATAACTCTGAACGAGTTTTAGAAGAACTCGTAGAGTAAGTTTTGAACTCTGATCGAGTTGATAACTCTGACGAGTTTTAGAAGAACTTGCAGAGCAAGTTTTGAACTCTGATCGAGTTGATAACTCTGAACGAGTTTGAACTCTTGAAAAAGAGTTGATTTGAACCGAAAGTTCGGTTAATAAGCCAAGGAAGAAGCTCCTGTTGCTGGTCTCCAAAACTCCTTGTTGCTGCAGAACGCGGCAAGATGCTCGATCAAGGATCCCCAAAAAGTCAGCCAAAAAAAAGAGCCCCGAACTCAGTTGAGTTTCCCACTATTTATAGGGGGTTTAGGGGTGGCAACTGCCCCCTTAATTAGCTCCTCCATGGGCTGAGTGGGGTGTAACCACCCCCTCTTAAACAGCTCCCGAAATAGTGGGGAAAACGGTTTTGAAACCGTTCTGTTAGTGCTTTGAACGAGTCAAAACGCTGAAAACAGCGTTCTGGGCCTTAACTCTGCGTCTTATTGATGAGACGCAGAGTTGGGCGCTTGTTGGGAGTTGAAAACGCAAGGGCCGCTTGCGTTCGGACCTTAACTCTGCGTCTTAAAGATGAGACGCAGAGTTGGGCGCTCGCTGGGAGTCGAAACGCACAGGCCGCATGCGTTTTAGAGATGAACTCTGCGTTTTAGGCTAAAAACGCAGAGTTGGGCCTGTTTAAAGGCTGAAAACGCACAGTTGTGCTGTTTTAGAGATTAACTCTGCGTTTCTAGACTGAAAACGCAGAGTTGAGCCTGTTTAAAGGCTGAAAACGCACAGTTGTGCTGTTTTAGAGATTAACTCTGCGTTTCTAGACTGAAAACGCAGAGTTGAGCCTGTTTAAAGGCTGAAAACGCACAGTTGTGCTGTTTTAGAGATTAACTCTGCGTTTCTAGACTGAAAACGCAGAGTTGAAGCCGAAGGCTTTGGTTCGCTTCCTCCGTTTTGCCAAATTCCTTACGGTTTGAGAGATATCTGCATTCTAATATGAAGAGACCGTCAATTTGTAGTCTCTTTTGCTAGAGCTTTGCACAGATCGTCCTCTTGTAATCTTCGTCTTGGCTCCTTGAGAATATGAGAGTCGTCAGATTGTAACTCCCGATGTTGATTGTGAAGACTGTTGAATTGGGGCTTTCATTAGTTGTTGTGAAGGTCGTCAGATTATAACCTTCTACGTGAAAGTCCTCAAATTGTAGCCTTCTGAAAGTCGTCAGAT